CTGTTCGAGAATTAAGCGTACTATTACGCTGACACACGTGCATATGTATACATCATATAGCTGTAGCCTTGAAACCTGCGAATATTTATGCGGAACATTCGATTGCATAGACAGAACGAACTTCCAGGAAATATATAAATATTTTACAAGATTGTCCAACGTTTTCGTGGAATATTACTGAGGAAAAAAACTGCGAGGGAAGTCAATTGCGACAATTAAGTTGTACAAACGTACAAATATTACAAGTATCACGCGATACTTATTGGCAACGAGCCGATTTCATGTCACTTTGATTTATATCTCTAATGAAGTACCTTTGATAAGGCAAGTAAATATCAAGCACGAGACAGTATCAAAACTTGTAAATGCAGGCAGCACGTTTTCTCAATGATTACGCTGCTTGTTTTTCTTTCAGGTCACTGATCGATTTTTATCACTATGTTTATGTAACGTTATACAAATATGGTGCACCATTATTGTACTAACGTATCTTTGCTACGGAAGAACAATAATGTTGTAAAAATCATTGTATAAAAAAACCTCGATAAAAGAAGAAAAGTAACTTTATCCGGTCGTTAATTGCGTTTCTTTAAAACGAACGATTTCAAACTCGTGGAGACTCTCTGCGATGGATGACTGTAAAAAAAAAAAAAAAATCGTGGAACAGCAAAACGCAGACACAGTTCCACTGTCTCGCTAATTGTGCTTATAGCCTTGAAACGAGTGTGTGCACGCGTGCGTGCAAAGGAGCAAGAGACCGAGCTTGGAAAGCGCAATCACCGGCTTTTCCAGCGGCGAGAGGATCTCGCTCGCGTTTCGCAGTCCTTTGTGCCGGCAATTTCGACTTGTTTCACGCGAGTACCCACTCGTCACGCCTTCTACGCTGCTCCATTCCCGATCGAAGACCGTATAACGACCCGTGTCGTCGATTGTCGCAGTGAAAACCACTTGAAAACCACGAGCTCGTATGCCAGTGCAGCGCACCCTTTCTGTTTCAACGAGAGCTGCGAGAAGGGGAGCATTCGAGAACCGAGCCACAGGAAAAAATAAATGGAATCGATGGAGCAATCTACAACTAACACCGGCGCAGTGCCATCGTGTATCACGAACGTGTGAACCTATAACGATTCTTGCCGTCTTACGAAATAGATTCGTCACGATTCTCTGCTCTATCTCATATACTTCCTCTCCTTCAGCCTCGTTAGAACTTTGTAATTACGCAGTCCTTTCAATTTTCAAAATATATCAAAATATTTTTTTCTTTTTATCTACGAAGAAAAGAAGACTTTTTTATATCTTTTATATAAATAACGTTTAAAATTAATTAAGAAATGCACGTGGCAGACAAGCCATTTATTTATCAAAACATATACCGTACAAATTAAGTTTCAACTCGGGAGCACTCGCCACGATTTAGTTGACATTTACTCAAATCGATATCTAAAGATTAACTCATATTGACGTCGTACCGTGCAGCCGTATTAGAATCACGTATTGTAGCTTGATTCTTCCATTGACCTTTCTGCTGCTAACAATAAAGAGTACAAAGCCCTAATGCTGTATTGTTTGAACGAGGACGCAGCGCTAGCGAGAAGTTTAAAGCCCAGTTCGTATCAATTCAAGCTATTTGAAAACTATTTATTTGCTTGGTTTACAAACGTAAAAATTTTTCGTCCAACTAACAAAGCAATGTAATTGTCGCAACGCATCGATTTTTTTCAAGGTGATCACGACCGCAATGTCACTGAACAAGAGTTTAGTGCAAACAGAATCAAACGACTAACAACATTTTAATGGGATACTCGATAAAGAGAAAAAAGGATTAGAATGGATGATTCATGCTTCTCAGGTACGAATATCTATTCGTTGTGCGCAAAAGTGGACGTACAATACAAACATCTTGAAACGTTAGTGAAAAAAGTGAGCAAGAAAGAAATAAACGAAAAAAAAAAGAATGAGATTAGGCCTTGGCCGCCTATTACGTCAGTTGCGCGCATTAAATGTCGCGTGGCAAAATTTGCAATAATTAACACGAAAATGATGGACGTTGTTCGGCAGTAATGAGTTCCACGTTGCAGCACAACATGTTATCTTTCTTGTAAGCAAATCTAGAACTCAATGGTGCATAAAAAACTACAAAAAACCACTCACACAGAAATCATCTTTCACCTACTACGTTGTTAAAATAAAAAGTTTTTACATTTTACGTACAATTATTCTAATACTATTTTGTATAATTTTAACAATTATAACATCAACTTATAACTTGTTAGATAAATCTCCATTAAAATTATCAAGAACGAAAATTACGTTGCTAATGTTCTTGATATGTATATTGATACATTTTCCGCAAAGAGAGTATCTACAGCAATGTTCAATCGTAAAAAAAAAAAAGATAAAGAGACTTGATGAATACTGAATTAAAAAAAATGCCGTATAATTTAAAAAAAAATCAAGAGGAAAAGAAAATAATATAAAACTCAATTTACAAAAAGTGAAGATCGAATAGAAATAAATTGTATAGTTCGGCATTCCAATACCCAAGTAATAAACAGAAAAAAATATGCCGCGAGTCATACGTAGATAAAGGCGGGTTCGCACAAACAGCGTCATTCCACAAAATTATGAATCGGTTGCGCGAGAGAAACTGAAAAAGGCATGACGAACCTCGATAACCCAACGATCTGTCATCTCAGAAATTTCAACCATTGCCCGATCCATGCACGAGGAACAAACACGTCGCATGTGTTCTTTTTTCTCTTTTTCCTTCCCGGTTACATTTTTCCTTCAACACAATACAAAGCTAGAAAATTTTTTTTCTCTGTAATTTGGTTAATTATCATCCAGCTTATTTCTGTTAAATAAAGTTCTCTCATCTCGTTCCTCATCCCTAAAGTTCCTAGCAGCTTGTTGGAAAAGTTTTCATGAAGCATGTACATATTATGTGTATATGTTATATGTTGCGATTACAATAAACAATTATAAAATGTTAAATGAAAAATTTCAAAAATAATTGCTTTCTCACTGATCGAGAGATAAATATACAGGTATGTACGTATATGTGTATATATGTGAGTATATATCCCGAGAAAGGTTAACGACTCCAAAAAATTGCCGTCTGATCGAACGGAATCGAATAACATAAACAGGACAGAACAACGCATATTGCTGGTTGTCGTTTCGCATATTGTCGATCACATGTCGTTTTCAAACGACACGCATCCACGAATTCGACAAATTCTTTTAATTAATATAGTTCGTTTAATTCGTTTGATTTAATTAATATACAAATATTTTATCCATCTTATGTCAAGGCCGTGTAATTATATAATTGCGATGATAACGTGGCTACACTGTAATCTTTCTAATGAGGATTTGATTCTCGGATCGATAAAAGAACAAAAAGTTTCTGAATTTATTAGAGAGAAAGAGGAATTCATTTAAAGAATTTCGTTATCACAACTGAAACTGTGCAGCGAGAAAGGAGGAATATGAAGGGAGTTGTTTCTTTAAAAGAGGACACGCTTACAAGTGAAATTGCGTAGTAGCACGCGTAGGATGAATACGCGTACGTTCGTTTTCTTGCTCGGCGAGAAGAAACTTTTCTTTCCTCTTTCTCTCTTTTCTCCGACTGTCCCCCTTCTTATCTGGCTCCTCGAGCAGATAATCCCTAAAGCGTCTTTCTTGCTTAGTTAGCCCTGAAGCGATTTTTTTTCCCAACTGTGCGAGAGAGTAAGAGAAAGAGTGGGAGAGAGAGAGAGGGAGGGAGAGGGAGAGGGAGAGGGAGAGAGAGAGACAGAGACAGAGAGCGCAAGTCGCGAAATAGAAGGTAACAGAGGTGCAACAAGTTGAAAAGACTCACTGAGCTCGTTGTCCGCAAGGCTCAAACCGAGATGTCCAAACGCACAGAGAGCCAGCAACAGGATACAAGGCCATCGTCGAAGAGCTTTGTCACAGCCACGGTTAAAGCACCACCGTTCACACGCCATATTTACGAAGCTGCTAAACTCTTCTGTGCTACACGAATATAAATCCGTGCGCTTCGTGTCCCGTCTGCCCCCCCGCGGCCGATCGGACGATGACGGAAGGACGAAACAGAGAGAGGGAATATGGGGAAACGACGAAGACGAAACAAGAAGCAAGAGAGATAAAGACGGACGCGAGGTGAAAATAATGCTAGCGTAGAAAAACGGACGAGACGTTCGGGAAATTGTAATCGACGATATGGTTCACGGTTCGTTTTGCATGAACGTTCACCGCGGTGCTCGTGAATGTCATCGAAAGAAAGGATTCCTCGCGTCGCGACAATCGTTTGAATTTGAACACGCGGCTTGTGCACGATGATTTGTGTATTTCCTTTGCGAACAGGCACGAACTGTGAACGAGAACGCGAGACAGGCAGCCGTGGACTTGGTTCCGACACGTCTTTAAACCGGTATCGGACGGACGAGGACGACGACAACAAACACTTGCGACGGGAACGGCATGTTGGCTCTTACTGGCCTACCGCCGCATTCTTCGTCCGCTCTCCTGCCGGAGTTTCCGTTAAGTTATCTAGATAATAATAAATCTGAAGTTCAGATAATGGTGGAGCCAATCAAGCCATTGCTAATTCCTCGATACTTTTCTTCAATGTAATTTGCAAATACTTTCGCCTTTATCGATTTTGTTAAAACTTTTATTGATGAGAATTGTTTGTTTACGATACATTTTGTTATTACACGTTGATGAAATGAATTGAGATCAATATCGACGATAAAAAGGAAACGAACTACGCGAATGTCTCATCTCAAATTTCATTCTTCATTTGATACAAACAGAAAATTGATTTTTTTTTTTTTTTTTTAATAGCATTCGAATTTTTATTGTTTCGAAAATGTTTCCAAATACGGGAACAATTACATTTACATTATTTCGGCAATGAAGATTTCTGTAATTTCAAACGATGATAATGTAGTTTGAGGTGAAAAATTTACTTTATCATTTTAAATTATTAAGAATTATTCATTCTCTAGAAATTTTTCTATATTAGACAGACAGGTGCTTGATAAAGAAACCGGATGTAGCTCAGAGTCATATGTCGTAGCAGAAATATAAGAATTACAAGGAGAAATAAGGTGAATTTTCCCAAGTTTCATTTGACTTAACTGTGGATTTGATGTTAAACCAGTACTCACTGTTTGATGTTGATTAAATATAGTCTATATAAAGATATTGATATTTAAATATTAAATATATTTTGAAGAGAAAAAATAGTAAGAAAATAGCATTGAAAATTCAATTGAAATAAAAATATTTTATATTTACCGTGACCATTAATTTATCTTGGAATGTTCTATGACAATGTGAATCATCTGATTTATATGGAAATTTTAAAGCTAAATTAACCTGTTGTATTTGTTCATATTTTTTCTTTATCCTATATGATTTATTTGTTGTTCTATATATGTAATCTAATTCATCAAATGCATCTAATGCCAAAATAAGCTTAGAATCATGGATTCTTGCATATTCATCTTTCTCTTCTATTTCTTCCTTTCGTTCTATAGATTTTATTATCCTCGCCTGTCTTTCTTTTATTATTTCACCCCACAAAGAATAACGTTGATTCATCAAAAAAAGTGCTTGACCATCCATACCATGAGGAGTAATACCGACCTGTTCAAAGTATTTAGCAACCTCTATCCATACTTGACCTAATTTCAGTGTAAAATATAATTCTATGGTAGATATTGTAATCTGAAAAAATATGTGATGCAAATCATATCAAATATTAGGTACAGGGTAAGATTTAATGGATATTTTTGCATAACTTACTCTATCTTCAATTGAAAGATTAGCATATAATATTTTGTAATGTTCTTTGGCCATTTTATACTTTTCATTATCTCTTTCAATTATTTTGAAAATACTATATATTTTTGATCTAACTGAACCAATCATGTCAATTAATGCTGGACTACTATCTCTAGCTAGTTTTTTGCAATAAGTATCAAACCATTGCCTTTTACCCATTTCAGACAATTCCATATCTAATGAATAGTAGCAATGTAGTCAAGTTTTTATAAAAATGTCATTAGCTAAAATTATATTATTTGCCTTTGACAGTGCCATCCATATTTCTCTTAGCTTTAATCAGTATTTCTTCTTCTCTCCATATTTTTGCTAACAAAGACATTAATCCTATTTTTTTATCAATACCTCTCCAAGTACATAAGAATGGTCCACAAAAAATATTATCGCACATATCGGTAAAAAGAGCGAGAAATAAACAACGAGAGCAATATGGAATAATTTCAATAATATCAAGGATAATATATACTCCACCATATCGAATAAATTTTTCAAGTATTTCAGGACACCATATTATACATTCCCAAATATATGAACCTATTGCTAGTAGAAGACTAATACAATTTTTTATATGATAATAATTATATATTCTAATTTTGTTGTTATACAAGTATATTACCGTTGTTCCAATTGAAATTCATTATCTTTTTGATATATGCAACGAAATAGTAATTCCATAATAGATATAATACTGTGCTCCCCATATATTTGTTGAAAAAATTTTTGTTTTTTCATGAGTCTTTCAATTGATGTTAATGCCAATATTAACACACGTTGTTCCATTGCTTTAAGTTTATCAAATTTCAAAATATACTTAATAACTTCTATAATGTATAACATAAAGAATTATTATTTAATGTAGAATTAAAAAGTAATAAAATTTTGCAATAAGTATAAATAGACAAAAAACTGACTAATTAACAATAATATAATTCCACACTCTCGTAAGTATTCTAGTAAATATTTATTGTCACTCAGAATAATTAGGCAAATTGTTTTTACACAAGTCATTATTATTTTTATATCAAATTTCGTATTTAAACACCATTCTAGCATTGTATATAATCTATAAAATATTTACATTTACTTTATACCATAAAAATAAAAAAGATTTATATTTATTTGTACTTTGACTACCTAATACCACCATGATATTCCACAAATTGTTGAGGCATTTTTGGTGCTAATATAGACAAAGCATTTATAGCATACATCCATAAATCCCAAAATTGAGATGCATTCCAAGTGACTTTTGTTTCTTCAATATTTGGATTAACAATTTGAAGTATAGTTTGCATCAGTTTCCATTTTATCATTAACTATTATAAGTATCATGACATTAAAATGTTTTTTAGAACTTTTTATATGTAATATATAGATTAAAAAAAAGTAATTACAAAAATACAAGCATCAACTTCTGCTAAATGTGTAACAATTAATAATAAAATTTTTTCAAAGTGTAAATTATCAATAGTTCTGCCAAATTTTATTATTTCTGCAAATATTCTAACAGATCCAGATTCAATTCCAACTAAATATTTAATAACAGTATCAGCTATACCACCACTGACAAGGTTCCAAGAGGGTAAAGTAATTGAAATTGAGAGAATAATCATGGCAATTTCATTTCTAATCTTTGTATTAAATTTTCTGTATTGGCTGTAATATATCTGCCGCTTAAAAGCATAACATAGGCCCCTGTGTAATATAAATTAGTTTTTTAAATATAAATTTTAATAATAAATTAAATAAATTACCATAAGACACAATGGGTTGATGTCAAATTTTCTTTGAAATTAGTTGGCATATTATTAGGAAAAATAATAGATTTCATCAAGCTCCACAGAGTGTTCATTATCAAAAGAGTTGTTTCATCACTATATTCAATCCCATTTAACATTAAGTCAGGTGGCCGAGTACAATGTAATTGAATTGCATAAGGAAGATCCATTCTTATAAGTATAACATTAAGTACATTAGCTTCCAACATTCTGTGACCTTCATTTAATGTTATACAGATGTTAACATAATAAAAAGTATAGTTCCTTAAATATTTATTTTTCTAATTAGAATATTGATTTCTCAGTACATACAACATTTATAAGAGATGGATGAAAGTAAAAAAACTAGCTCTAAAGTTTTTGGATATGTTTTTGTAGTAGAAGCTTGTAGTAATTCAACCACAATTAGTGGCAACTTTGACTTTTCCATGGCTTTACGATAATGTTTAAGTTGTATTGCAGAGATATCTTCTTTTTGTGTTTTTAATAACAAAGAATGAAGTGCCTTATGAATTTTTAATGCTTGCTCTTTTGTTGGTAAAATTACAAGAAGATGTCCCAACAATGTAAAATATTGTTCGATTACATCTTCATGAATTAAACTTTCAGACGACTTCTCTAATAAGAGTGGTATATTACAAAGCTCTAACATTCTATCAAGATGTAATTCATATTCTTTAACTCTATTAACATTTTCAGCCAAAAATTTTAATACTTTTATTACTAATGATAAATCTTTAACTTTCTATGAATTTATAAGGAAATTTCTTTTACATATATAGGTAATAAAACAGATATGTATAGTATATACCAAAATTATGTTCATTAAAGGATACATAACCATTGTCTCCTACTTCACTAAGGTAATCATATAAAAGTTTACATATGCGAATTACACTATTGCTTGTTATAGGATCCGATATGAGTTCATCTAATTTTTGTAAAATGCAATTAGTATCCAATTTCAATCGTTCATCAAATTCAAATATTTCTTTTGGCAATTTGTCAGTTCTAGGACAAAGGTGGGTAACATATTTTGGACAATTAAATTCTTTCCAAACATCCTCAACTTTCAATTTATTAAGATACTGTACTTCAGTTTTATTTTGCTCCATACGTCGCTATTTTTTTTTTATACAATATATCAATACAAAGGTATTTGTACATACATGTAATAAATTTCATATCATTTTAAACAATATATAGATTATATTCAAATAAAATGTAAGTTGACAATAAAATTCTTACCTCTTTTTAACTACAAATACAGCATAAGTTTTCATCAAAAAGATCAAATACCACGGTATTACTTTGGATTTTTCAAGAAAGGAGCAAATAAAACATAAAATTGAATGTTCGAACTAATGGCGCCCTCTGATGCGATATTTTTAAAACAACACCTAGATGGCGCTTTCATCAAATATACCGCCGACTTGTGTATTTTAATTCAGTTCGAATATCGAAAAATACGTGATCTATCACATTTGATCTCATACGTGTTTACTGCAAACATTATAGTTTATCGAAAAGGAAAGCATGTAATGGCAACAGATATATTCAAAGCTCATTATCCTTGCAATGATCACCTTTAAAAATTCGTATCTAGATAATCATGTACGAACAAAGTTTAAATGTGTACGTGTATCGTGCACGTGCAAGAGAGAGTTTGCAACAGTCGCCGCTGTCGTCGACAATAGTAAGGTGTGTGCTTGTGCCTTTTACTCAAATCTTTCGTCGTTTCCAACAAATTTTACATTCAACGTTTAAAAAAATGTTCACTACCCACAGTGAAGCTACACAGGTTAGTAACTACGGGGTTGACGAACTTTCTAGCTGTACTTACACTTTTACGAAATTAGAAAGTTTACATGCTTGTTGCAATTATACACTCGTAATACCACGTATTTCACATTTTATAAAAATAACAATTAATTGCAATAGTTTGACGTTAAAAATTCCACAAGCTTCCCGTCGTATGGAATTTAGAGTAATTAAAAAAACTCAGGTATTTAAGACATCAATTTGCAATTGATAATTAACACTTGCTAATTTACCATCACACTGAACCCAATTCTCGCTTTCGATTTCGATCCGGCAGAAGAGCAATTTAACAAAAGAAAAAAACTTCTACGTTTGCAGCGATTGCGGGGATGAATTGACAGTTTCGAGAGAAGGAAGGAAGAAATTGCAGAAGAAAAGAGCGCGTTAAACGCGGATCATTGGCCGGTGCGGAGATGTTGGTCGTTTGATCGTCGCTCGAAGTCAATGTCGAGATACACGGTCGCAGGTAGTCGCCCTCTACTACGCTCGTACGTAAGATCGGTCTGTGCGTGTATGGTGGTTGGTAGTAGTCGCGACGCTGCCGAGAGCAGCTGAAGTGCGTGCACGTCGTTCTTCGTGATCTGGTCGTACGCGGTGTGTGATTCGTTTCGTGTCGAAATTTTTGGCGATCACGGCGAGAAAGTGCCAGGGAGGGATTAAGAATCAAAGAAGTTGGGTGTGACTCGCGATGTGACAAAACTGCGCCGATCTTGGCGGGACGGTGAGTGACCTTTTCGAATGGCATGCACGTCGTCGCTTCATTTTTCTACCCGTATATGAAATACCGAGCGTGGAGTACTCGGCTGCCGGTGTTTCTTCTGGCCCGGTGCTTTCTCACGGGAAAAATGTCTTATTAATTAGTACGACAGCGAGGCGTGTAACGAGCCTCGACTACAATTACACTTTCTGCCTTCGCCTCGAACCCTTCTCACCGTCTTCCGACCGTCGAACAACCACGTTTTCTTTTCCTTTTTGTTCTTGTCACACGACGCAGTGCCTTCTTTTGAACCTTGTACAGGTTGAATTCAAGGTTCTCTAGTGAGAATGCGATTCACGTCGCTTCTGTCTCTAACGTTTGTCCTTAGATAGAGCGAAAGAATTAAAGGGAAAGAAACAGAGAAAGAGACAATGGAAAAGGCGCGAGTGCCTCCTTTCTGTGCGTACGTGTCTAACAGGAAAATTCTAGAGATTTGCGTATATAATTAGCCCGTCGTGCCTTTTATTTTCTTCAAACGCTTCTTCGTATTTTCTCTACGTCTATTCCACGCGCAATAATGTACGGAAGGGTATAATCGATTCAACCTGCGGCACATTGGCGTCTGGATGGACTTTCACGGTGTTTTGACGTACGCAGATACGCACAGACATGCGGCTCGAAGACTCGCATACGTGAACGATTTGCAAGTGATACGCGATGGAGAGAGGTCTTCGATAAGAGGTGGAAGTTGTAAGGTGAGTAGAGAGGAAGACCCAGGGGTGAACGAGAAGCCAAGAAAGAAGCCGCCGTTTGAAAAATTTAGATACGCCGTTGCTCTGGAGGGTTAGCAGTCTCGTTTCCCCGAGCCGGCGAATCAATATTTGGAGGGTAAGCGTCCCGACTGTCGGCGTCGAAGCTGCAGAACGTGAGTCACTCACCCCTGATTGCGAGGGAAAAGGAGAGAAGGATGACTCTTCTCTTTTCTCTTTCACCCTCTCTTCTTGTATCGCGGCTCGAGTAGGCTCGACTTGCCTCGACTCGACTCGACTCGACTCTATGCGCCGTTGTATGCAGGAAGACTGCAACATTTGGGCAAAAGTTGCTCTTTTCACATTTGCGCGTATCACCGCAATAGGGAACAAATACCGATTGACTCTTTTACATGATCACGCTGCAGATACATTTATACAATACTAAGATTTGGAAATACTAAGATGTGGAAATACTAAGATTTCAGTAAGATGTTTTGTATATTTTTATCTGTTACGTGCATTTCATTAAATGCCTCATTAATGCAAACGTTTGCGATCAGACAAATTTATTGGGTATGGTGCTACGGCATGTAGAGGGAAACAGTGGATAAACAAGTATATACCGTTACGCGATACTAATTAAAATTCCTTAAAGTATCGCTTTTCAAGTGTAGAACGAAGAGAAATTGCTAGGGTCGTAAAAATTTGAACGAAACGCGGTTCAAGGTACGCGGTCGTTGGTCGCCGACAGAATTAAGAAATAAACGGGTATCGAAGTTGTCGTCGCGGTTTAATTAAGATATTTTACGAATTTTCGGATTCCCCGCACAGTCGTAAGAACGGAACATTAATTTACGACCTTTAAAGACGGCCGTGCACGCATACAAGCGTGAAACGCATGCACCTAACTAAACCCGTTTGAGGGAGACCACGGTGGGAACAGGTTCCATAAAATTGAGCGTTCTTCCGTAGGACTTTTATCTCTGGCTAACTATCTTTGCGCCGTACTATGCTTTTATCAATATAGAATACCAGCCGATCCCTTCTTCCAATTTCTCAGAAACGCGTTCTCTGACAATGAGCGAAAACTAACGTCGTCAGCTGTCGTTGCCCCGCAATTCCAGAATCGCGTGACTTTTGGAAACGTCGGTCGCGTGCAAGAATTTTTCTTCCCAACAATGGGAGAGAACAATGTTAGGTACAACAGATATTCGCAAGTTGAAATAAAGTTGGCTGTTGTATTTGTAATCGAGCGAAAGCCGTAACGTACACACGACAAGAATGATTGTATAAATAAGTCAAAAACGAAAAGTGGTATTTCGGCTTCTTTTTTTTTTTTTTTTTTTATGAATAAATAGAAAGACGCAGAGCCGGCATGACTAGGAAGATGGTATTTGTTCGTTAACGCGAGTCAAGTCCACGATTTGTTCATTTATTGAGTAACGAGACGAATTGCTTTTCTAGGATTCGCGTAGATCGATCGTGGTTACTCTTTCTAATTCATTAAATCGGATTAAGGATCGTTTCTCTATGTGAAATCTTTCGCCGTCATCGTTCGCGATCAATTGTCAGGATTCGAGGAAGAGATATGTGCTGGAGAGATCAATGAGCCAGACTATACTACGTTCGACGACACTAGCCGGTCTACGCCTCGTCCTTTTCCGATTTTGCCGCGCACCGTTACGCGAATATGCTTTCGCGTGTACGTCTAACGGTTGTTATTGTAACCGCCTTGGAACACTTTGCTCGTCATTTCTAGAAAAATTTGTCAATTATCCTACTGCAGAGTGTAAAATTCAACTAGATAAATTCCGAGCGCCAAGGATGTCGTCAAGAATTTGACCTTTCATTCGACTCGACTTTTGTTCATGCGCGTCTAGCGCGAATATCTTTTTTATTATCTTTATACAAAAATCAAAACTCCAATTCGACGATTTGGGAAATGATCTTTGATTAATTGTTCGGAAATTGTTTGCCTTCCGCGTTCCTGTCAAAACGTTTGAATCGAAGCAAAGTGGCTGGTATCATTGCCAATTAAAAGCTAACCGAGGAACACGCCGTATTCTCAGCGGTGATCTTGTACTTGGTTGACTCTGCAACCTTGAACGGAACCGTGTACACCGGTTATTGTAATAGGTATGCGAAGTTTCTCGCGCGTTCGTTCGTTCGTTCGTTCGCGCGGCCCGATGAACGAAGGCGAGTAGAAAACGAAAAGCATCTCAGAGATGCTGGCCCGATCCCCTTCCCAGAAAGCTAATTCCTCCCTAATTTTGGCCAACCTTCGCCAGCCATCCCAAGCAGCGAAAAAAAGAAAGATGACTGGCAAAAAGAAATGTCGAAAGAAGAGCGAATCGAAGCCCTCTTGAATGTTTCAAAATTCGTCCGATTGTCACAACAGTTTTGGAATCTCCGGAAAGAAAACGAACGAAACACCACGTCGAATAACTATGGAATATAGTTTTCGTCTGTCTCGTCTGTTGCGTCTTGTTGCGTAATTATTTCACAGTTAGGGTCAATTTACATCGGTTCTCTGTAGAATTTCCGAGTACAGATCAATGGCATTGAGAGGATTTGTAAAGTCAATGCCAGCTGATGAACGCTGTGGGGCTGTCACATTAAAACATCATTACGCGAGATTTGATAAACGACTGCGAAACAGCAAGTCGTAAGATCGATGTAATCGATCGACCGGGTAAATCCTGCTGCCTTTGAACATTTCGATTGGCCCTTTCACACCTCCGAATTGGTCTGTCGTTCGCGTGAAAGAGCACGTAACCCGTATAATCGGGCAAAAAAACGCGTGCCGAACGAGAAACAGTGAATCTCTGGAAAGGGCGATAAACGCGGTTCATGTCTTCATTGAGAAGAAACGAAAACCGACTGGTGATTGACGATTCGTCAAGCGAGAAGACGATTCGGTGTTCAAGTGTTGAGGTTAGTTTGAGGGCCAGTGGCAGAGGACGAGTCACTTACCGAGGGCCTCGCTACGTTTTCCGAGAAGCCGTTCGATCAATTTTGAAAAAGGTGCCCGTCATTAGGCGGTAAAATGCGGACGTGGCTTTCGAGAGGATAATTGGTAGGTTCGAATTCCAGGGCTGATCGTCGTGCCACATCTCTCGTGTAATTAATAGCCATTTCACAGAAAACGAAGACGATTCTCTGGTACTTTCCTGCGAGGCTAAAACGCTCCACGGAAATATGCACGGTTCAGCAAGGTGTGTACTCACCTTGCCAGCGGTGAACAGTGTTCGGAAATAGAACTCGCTAGTGAAGATCTTAGCGTGAAGATTTTAGTAGGTGGTTTCAAGATTTCCTCGCTGATCGTTCTCGGAAAAGCGGCAGTTTTATACATTTTGCGCGAGCACGTTCGTTCGTAAATATATATGCAAATAGGCGACAAACAGATTTTATGGGGACGATAGCGAGGACGAGGTTCAATGCGAAGTTTCATGGACAATTAATTCCTACGTAGCCGAGAAAGTACACGGGAGTACGGGTGTAAGAATCTTCAGGCGAATAGATGTTATCGTTATCGCGCATTTTCCACTGGACGGTTAACCGGAATTTAAGAGTCGGCAACGTGTGAGCGTGAACGAGCTTGGAATATAAAACCGCGCGCAACAGTGTTCACGAAGCGCTGGATGCGATTTCGTCGTGCAAGAACGACGCACCGAAATTGAAGCTCGTGGCGCGGGATTGATCAATTTTCGAATCTCGATCGCTTCGGAGTAAATGGAATCCAAGATTGGACGCAAAAAATGATTGTTCCAGGACCAAGGTGAACGTTTAACTTGAGAACACGAGAAAGAGAGGGGGAGAGAGAGAGAGAGAGAAAGCGGTAGTTGGCACGTAGGTGTTATACCCATTGATTCGTATCTACTTCACTCAAGCAATTACATGAACAACAGCGGACGAAGATAGACGCAGGCTCGAGGTTATTAGAGAGTACCAACCAATGTCTGCATGTTTCTATCTCTTAATCGTTTTATCTCTGAATCGTTTCATCCTACGCGTCGCTCGTCCCAACTCATCTCCAAGAGCGACGTCTCGAAGTTAGTAGAGCGTCTGGATGATTCGCGAGTTTTTCCTCTCGCGCAGCGGGACGGCCTACAATTTCGTTTTCCACGGGGAAAACGATCTTCTTGCGACACGTTGATACCGGTCTTTTTTACCGATGAGTTTCTGCGCGATGCAATCGCAGCCTCCGTGCGAGAAAAAGGCGTAATGGCGAACGCATGGGTAGAACGTTGGTTATTGGGGATGGAGGTTGGTTTCTCTGGCGATTCTCTCGAGTACTCCGAGAAGAAGGAGGTTGATATTATCGAGGCGAAGGAAAGGTCACGCGTCGCGCCGAAGAGAAACGAAGAAGCGGCCCTCCGCCTATAAGCATCGCGTCCCTGGTCATCTCCTCCATTCGCTCGCTCGTTCCTTCCTTCGTTCATTTTGTTTTTTTCTCTTGTGCTCGCCGGGTCGTTTTGTTCCGAAGGCGAGTCGGCTGGTCCGTGCTCGTTGTCTACCTGCTCGTAGCTGGTTGTGCAAGCGGTGGTTCGATTGGTTCGTGCCGATGCACCATCCGTTTGGATTGGTCAAACCGGATCGGCTAGCCTCCGGGAGGAAGGAGGATTGCGAGCCGATGCCACTGGAGACCTATCGTGCTCTTGCTACGGTCAACTAGTCCCGTGATCTTGAGGACCGGCGATTCTCTAACGCAATAAGACTATAAGGAACACAGAAGGAGAAGACGCTCGTTGCAGTCGTCCTTTGCGCCACGTATTACCTTGGGCCTTATTAAACGCGTGGAAACGCGTTGAAACGACTTGCCCGTTGCGATGCTACTACGAGTAGGCTGGACCATTTATGTCTGTACTAACAATAAGCTCTTCCCTTCGGACAACATACCGTTCCGAGTCGTTTGAGACTGTTGCGAGTCCGCTCAGCTGGACTAATTGAGTTTTTTTGGAAAAAAGAGCTTTAAAGAACAAAACTGAGTAAATTAAAAAATTTTAGTTCTAATTTTTTTTTTTCAATAAGACAGTAAAGAAAAATTTCACAATTCAGTTATTTAACTATGCCTATCTTTATGTAGAAAGCTCCTTAATTGATCATTTGAAAGCCACTCGCAACGGTCGAGTATATTTGGGATGATTGATATTTTAAAACACTCGCTATTTAAAGTGGCGAAACTTTAGAAACCAGCTGGATGTCAGTGTACCGTAATCTCTAATGAAGTTGTCTCCTAGCCTTTCGAAAGTTTAGATGATAGATTTCAACTTTCTGCGTGGCATTTGACTGTGACTGTCCATTGAATGTCCGGTTGGCTTGATTTGTTCCTCAGGAACTGCAGGACAATAATTTCACTCGACCGTTATGCAGCGTTATGTAGCGGTTTTTCTTCTTTATTGTTTGTAAGAATGCCTTGTTGCAATTTTTTTTCTTTTATTTCCGTGACCGACATACTTTCTCTAACGCACGACGCGTCGTCCTGAATATTTTTACATCGGTATTTCGATCCTTTTATCTCTCGATTTGTCCGCGCGCAACGACGAAGAGAATGTCGGAGAACATGCTAAATCTATTTTTATCGATCCTCTGTATTTCGCGTTACTTTTAATACGACTACTCTTACCTTACTTTCGACACGATAATTTTCAAACAGAGAAAGAGAGGTCGCAACGCGACGAATATTATTCGCACCGAGTGGTACGAGAATATTCTATCTCTTCATCTCAGAGAATGGTGCATACGGTGTTGAAAGACAAGAAATAGACGAGCAGGAATTACGAAGGGCGAGAGTTTCTTTTTCCGTTGTCTTTTTCGCAAGTGAAACGGGTATTTGAACTGCATCCTCTCAGATTATACGTTTCGAAGTCCTCCTCGAAGACGTGGTTAGGTAGTTTTTCTTTTTTTTTTTTTTTGAATAATATAACATGCGATACGACGATCGGTGCTCACAGCAAAATTATACAGCGAATGAAAAATTATGAAATCTGGCGTCTGCTCAAGATGAATGATAAACAATGAACAAACGTTAGTATCGCTATGTGAAAGAGAATTCGGAGAAGAAAATGGAAGAAAAAACAGCAATCTATTTCATAGAGCACTCTTAATATTTTAAGAGTCTTAATTTAGAATCTTAATATTCTTAAGATTGATTAGAATCTTAATTTAGAACCTTAATATTTTTAAGATATATTTTACGATTCTAAATTAGAATTTCTTCGATAATTAGAAGATCAGAATTTCACGAGGTGGCTGGCTGGTAGTTAAACAACAGGCAGGATTTGCCGTAGAAGGGAACGAACCTCTTGATATCAGGAGGGTGAAACGAACGGAAATCATCGTTCCCACGTTTTACAGCGGGTATCGCATTCTCACACTCGCGAAGGAAATTCGGTGCAAGAACGCTAAAAAAATTGCAATTATACTAAAACGATTAATAAATCCCACTTAATAAATTCTTGAGTTCAGAATTTTTTTTTTTTTCTTTTCTTTGCTAAAGTCCTCCTCTGCTAATTTTTACTCGTGACAGCTTCCTGCTCCAATCCACACATACTCCATGATATTATCTATTACGTAAGCACGATGAATTATTCAGTGGTTTCCCGAGGTTGCTCGTTCCCGATCGTTTTACCTACAACATCTACAAGTTATAGAAATTAGAAAAATTGAGCAAACGAGCCCGAAAGTGTCCCGCTCACGTTTCAGAATCGGCTCAAAGGAACTCGTTCATTCGTGTGTGTTCGAATTAATGCTGAACCTATCGATTTGCAGATGGAAGACCGTGCGAGCGCACGTTGAACCGAGCAAGCGGGGAGAGGATCGGCAACAATGGGACACTTGTCTGGGAGGGTAGAACACGAGAAGAAGGAGCGGTCGTTGTAAGAGGGTGGTTGCCATGGCGAGGTGGAAATGGATCGTCCCGTTGTTCGCGGTCTTCTGGACTCTGACCGACGCGTACCTGGCGGTGCTGTCCTCGAGCACGCCCGCCGGCAGCGTGGTTTTCGAGGCAGGTGTACCGCAGCTGGGCGGTCGTCGGAAGTACGAAGTATCGAACGAGAGGACCGCCTGGTTTGCGAGGAAGTTGCTCAAGGTGCATCCTCACACCGGCCGCGTCACGTTGGCGCGACCTTTGAGCTGCGACGGCCTTCAATATCCACGAATATTCACCTTCTACGTGGACTCGACCAGTTCTAGACTGGGCAGACCAACGATCGACTATTACAGCCTGCCACTTAGGATTCTAATCACCGGCTGCGGTGGAGAGAATCGAGATCTAGCCGCTACTAGGGGATGGATGGCGGAGACTTTAGCTTCCTACGCTATGCCCAGTACCGAGAGGTAATCAAATGTTGAAAGATACTCTGCTAGACGTGTAACGTGCGTTAATTACAAAAAAATCGGGGAAATATCGGGTAATTTAGATCGTGAAAACTAAAAATTAAAAATAGAAGTACGAGAGACTCCTCGTGGCTGATGTTCATTTAGATAACCGTTTTGTAATTAGCTCGCTGCGTTCACGAGTCACGCGAGTTTCGTTCTTGTTTCTCTATGATTAATTTGCACGTGGCGACAGAGTAGTTAACGCGCGGAGATAATAAGATTCTTGTGTCCTCTGGTAACAGGTTCACCGAGGTTTGCCTCAGAACGTCGCAATTGGTCGCGGCGCTGCGAGACTTCCTTCCGCAAACCGCTCTGAAAGAGTGCGAGACCAGGTGGGGTGGCGTAGCGGATCCTAGGTTTCTGATCGAAGGCGCGGCGGGTGACTTGGTCTCGGCAACGGAACAATGCTTGGTGGATCCGCTTTGGAAAATCTCCGTGTCGATGAATCTCCGATGCGGGATAGAGTCGCGGTTAACCGACGCGGAACATCGTCTGAAGATCGTCTTCCATCACCGTCAGCTGGACGACACGGATCTGGGCAGACGAGTCCGCAGGGAATTGAAAAATCAATCGCCGTACTTCGAGCAGTCGCTGTACGTAGCCGTGGTCGAGGAAGAGAAAGAACCGGGCACGTACGTGACGTCTGTCAGAGCCAGAGATCCTGAGGGTGGCACGGTCCGTTATTCCATGAGTTCTCTGCTGGACGCCCGGTCACAGGCGTTACTCGTTCTGGATCCGGTCACCGGGAGGGTCACTACACGCGCCAGATTGGACAGAGAGAGCGTGGACGTTCATTACTTTCGGGTACTCGCCGTGGACGATTCGTTCCCTCCGAGAACGGGCACCACCACGTTGCAAGTGAACGTCCTCGATACGAACGATCACGCGCCAACGTTCGAGTGGCCAGAGGACGAGGCTTCCATCAGAGAAGGTGTACCAGTTGGTTACACGGTTGTCACTGTCAAAGCTACCGACCAAGACGCAGGCAGAAACGCCGAAGTCGAGTATTCCATCTTATCCACGACTAGCGGCAGCGGGACTGCAAACGCCGACGACGCGCTGACTTTCAGAATAGATCCGAGGACCGGCGTTGTTACGACGCGCGCGCCGCTCGACAGAGAGAAAACCGAGGTGTACACGGTCGTGCTGAGCGTCTCCGATCAGGCGACACCCCCTTCCGCGCGAAAAACCGCGAACGCGACGCTGGTGGTCCGCGTGCTAGACGACAATGATAATTACCCACAGTTCACCGAACGTACCTATTCCGCCTGGATACCAGAGGATCTGGATTACACGGCGAATCCGGTGATAGCGCGTATACGCGCCACGGACGCGGATTCGGGGAACAACGCCGCCGTTCGGTACGCCATCATCGGCGGAAACACTCAGAATACTTTCGCCATAGACTCGATGATCGGTGACGTTGCTCTCGTCAAGCCCCTGGATTACGAGTCGACCAGAAGCTACAAAATAGTTATACGCGCTCAAGACGGTGGTTCACCGGCCAGATCCAACACCACGCAGTTATTAGTGCACGTGGGCGACGTTAATGACAACGCACCGCGATTTTACACCAGCCACTTTCAAGAGTCTGTCTCGGAGAACGTGCCTATAGGGTACTCGATGCTGAGGATACAGGCGTACGATGCTGACGAGGGCGCGAACGCTCAGATAAAATACACTATAGGGGCGCGTGACTTCTCCGGAGCTTCCACGGAGAACTTTCCCATAACCGTTAACACGGAGACCGGATGGATTTACACGACAAAACAGCTCGATCGCGAGCAATGTTCCAGGTACAGTTGCGTTTAATTCTTTACACTCGGCTGTCCCTTCTGAGAGGATAGATTAAATCTAGCTTGGACTTTCTCTTTTTTGCTGATAATTATAATGAACGTGTACATTTGGTGTTGTATGCGTGAGAAGGACAAAGGAATTTCAGAAGAAGAAAGTCCCGAGTCAATTGACACTTAATAATTCACATAAAATAGACTTCTCATTGCTTCTTCTACGAAAGTTCAATAAATGGTGGAAGATATTTTTTGAAAGATTGAACTACGTATCATTAACTCTTGCATATTAGCATACTTGTTCTAGCAATGCACGTTGATGATTGCTTTAAATTTAATATCACATGTTAGAAAGATGTAATCAACGTATTACTTCGCCGTATTTTAAATACCATTTGAATGATTATTTCCAATGCTATATCGTTTCATAACGACGCTTCGTAAATAAATCGCTGGTAGATGATACCAGAAATGTTTGTCGAGGGCAAAATGTTAAGAATCCAAATTACCGACAGTTATTCTAAATAACCATAATCTTTTATTATCAATCAACTGTTTGTTTTTTAGGTACCAATTCACCGTGATTGCCACGGACTCTGGCGATGTACCAAAATCTGCGAGCGCCACTGTGATACTCACCGTGACCGACGTGAACGACAACGATCCCCACTTTGACCCTAAGAACTACGAGGCTGTGGTCTCCGAGGACGATCCACCGGGCACTCCCGTCACCTCTGTCACGGCGACCGATGCCGACGAGGACGCCAGGATACATTACGAGATCACAGCTGGTAACACGAGAGGCCGATTCTCGATCGCGTCTCAGAACGGACGTGGTCTGATAACGGTGGCTCAACCGCTCGACTACAAGCAGGAAAAGAGATTCGTTCTCACCGTCACGGCCTCGGACAGTGGCGGTAGAACCGACACGGCTCTCGTCTACGTGAACGTCTCGGACGCCAATAATTTCGAGCCGGTGTTCGAGAACACGCCCTACGCCGTGTCGTTGTTCGAAGACGCGCCGATCGGCACAACGGTTTTGGTCGTCAGCGCGACTGATTCAGACGTTGGGAAAAATGCTCAGATCACCTACAGCTTGGGCACCGATGGCGGGGAGTCGGCATCCGAGTTCACCATAAATCCGCAAACGGGAGCCATCACGACTACTCGCACGTTGGATCGTGAACTCGTGCCCGGTTACTTTTTAACTGTTACAGCGAGAGACGGAGGCGTGCCGCCTTTGTCCGACACTATCAACGTGGAAATATCCGTGACGGACGTGAACGACAATGCTCCCGTCTTCGAAGCTCCACAGTACCAAGGTTCCGTCCCGGAGGACGTGGCAGGTGGCACTAGCGTTTTGAGAGTTTCTGCCACCGACGCGGACACGGATCTGAATGGGAGAGTGAGGTACGCGCTGGAAGACGACGGAGACGGCGCGTTTGCCGTAGACTCGACAACAGGCGTGATCAGAACAGCCAAACCATTGGACAGAGAATCGGTCGCGATGTACACTTTGAAGGCAGTCGCGATGGACAGAGGATCACCGTCCCTGTCGACGGTAGTGCCGGTGACGATTAAAATACAGGACGTGAACGACTCGCCACCGGCATTCGAGAACGACAAGATCGTCCTTTATATAGCTGAAAATTCACCGATCGGCTCGACCGTCGGCGAAATTTATGCGCACGACCCGGACGAGGGACCAAACGCGGTCGTGCAGTATTCCGTGATAGGAGGGGAAGACTCGAACAGTTTCGCCCTGAATGTCAGATCAGGCGCGGACCGAGCGGAATTGATCACGCTCGAGGAATTGGACTACGAGTCGCCGAAGAAGAAGTTCGAGTTGGTCGTGCGTGCCGCCTCGCCTCCTCTCAGATCGGACGCACTGGTTCAGATATTGGTGACCGACGTGAACGACAACGCGCCCGTGTTGAAGGACTTTCAGATCATATTCAACAATTTCAAGGACTTCTTCCCGACTGCCCCAATAGGCAAGATACCAGCCGTCGACGCGGACGTCACCGACAAATTAACGTACATCGTGCTCGCCGGCAACAACGCGAATTTAATCGACTTGAACAGAACCACCGGCGAAATCCGGCTGTCGCCGCAGCTGAACACGAACGTGCCACGTGTCGCGACGATGGAGGTGTCCGTCACGGATGGTATCAACGAGGTCAAGGCCACGATGACTCTCTCGGTGCGCTTGATCACCGATAAAATGCTCCTCAACTCAATCACCGTTAGATTAGACGACATGACGGCCGAGGCTTTCCTCAGTCCTCTGTTAGGATATTTTCTGGATGGTTTGGCAGCCATTATCCCATGCCCCAGAGAGAATATCTTTCTCTTTAGCATACAGGAGGACGCGAACGTGAACGGGAAGATCTTGAACGTGAGCTTCTCCGCGCGGAAAGTCGAGCCAGGCGTGACGGACGAGTTTTACAGCCCGCAGTTTCTTCAAGAACGCGTGTATCTGAACAGGGGTATACTGGCGAGACTGGCAACGGTTACGGTGTTGCCCTTCGACGACAACCTTTGCGTCAGAGAGCCGTGCTTGAATTTCGAGGAATGCCTGACGGTGTTGAAATTTGGGAACGCTTCTGGATTTGCGAGCAGCGACACCGTATTGTTCAGGCCTATATATCCGGTGACAACGTTCGCGTGCAGATGCGCGAAGGGTTTCACCGGTAGCAAGGAGTCCTACTTGTGCGACACGGAGGTTAATTTATGTTACTCGAATCCGTGTATGAACGGCGGCACTTGTTACAGAAGGGAAGGTGGATACGCGTGTTCCTGCGGCCCGGAATTCACCGGGAGAAACTGCGAGATCTCGTTGGATAAGGATTCGTGCGCCCCAGGAATCTGCAAGGGAGGTTCCCAGTGCGCTGTGAAGACGGCAGGCGGCTTTACCTGCGAGGGTTGCCCGGTGATATCTCTGGAGAACGTGACACCACTTTGCGAGCTTAGAGCTCGCAGTTTCGGACCGGCGACGTTTCTCACGTTCGCGTCTCTGAAGCAAAGGCACCGACTGCACGTGAAACTGAGATTCGCCACGGAAGCGGCGAATGGTCTTCTGCTCTACAACGGTCGGTACAACGAGAAACACGACTTTATAGCTTTGGAGGTAATCGACTCCGAGGTACAGTTCAGCTTCTCGCTCGGCGACGAGATCACGCGAGCCAGTGCCAGCGTACCCGGTGGGATTTCCGACGGTCAATGGCACGAGGTGGAGGTCTATTACATAAACAAAACTGTAACGATCTCACTGGACAACTGCGACGTTGCTCTAGCTTTGGAATACAGCGAGAGACTCGGGACGAAATGGTCCTGCGCGGGTAGAAGCGAGCAAGTGTTGGAAGAGCGTTGCAGCATCGTCACCGAGACGTGTCATCGTTTCTTGGATCTGACAGGGCCGCTGCAACTCGGCGGTCTACCTGCCATACCGTCTAGCTTTCGCATCAGAAACAAGGACTTCGTCGGTTGCATCACCGACCTGTACATCGATCATATTTTCGTCGATCTGAATTCGTTCGTAGCCGACAACGGTACCAACCCTGGTTGCCCGGAGAAGATCTCCTTCTGTTCATCGACACCGTGCAAGAACAACGGCAAGTGTCGAGAGATATGGTCCGGTTTCGTTTGCGAGTGCGAGGAAAACTTTGCTGGGCCTACCTGTGCCGACGAGGTTGGCAAACCGTGGAACTTCCACGGCGACGGGATGCTCAGCTTTAATCCTCTGTTAAGGCCCATTCAGCTCCCATGGTTAACGGCCCTCAGTCTGCGAACGCGATCCAAGCAGGCGTTCGTCATGAGCGTGCAAATAGGGCAGAACAGTTCCGCGTTGCTCGAGATCCGAGATGGTAAACTAATTGCCCTGTTAGACGGCACGGATATCGTGCAAACGTGGAACGACGTCGGCGACGGCGAATGGCACAGGGTGGAGATCGTCTGGCAGAGTGGCCAGGTTTCTCTCGACATCGACTATCGGAACAGACCGGTATCGTCGCCGTTACCAGCGAAATTGCAGGGTCTGTACATCGGTAGGATCCTCGTCGGTGGACCGGAACCATCGACGAACACCGAGCTACCGTACTTCGACGGCTGCCTGCAGGATATTCGTATAGGCAGCAACCAGAGCATACTGTTGAGGCCAACCGTACAGGAGAACGTCGCGACCGGCTGCAGCTCGGAGGCCGAGTGCAACGTCGACTGTCCGGAGGCATCGATCTGCGTCCCGAAGTGGCAGGCAGGCGAGTGCGTTTGCGCGACAGGTCGCGTTGGACGTGACTGCGAGCCTGTTTGCGATTTGAATCCCTGCAACAACACCGGAGCCTGCGTCGAGGACACAGCGTCTCGCAGGGGTTACAGATGCGAGTGTAACTCGCCAGAGTACTCCGGCGACTATTGCGAGATTAAAGCTGACCAACCGTGCCCGGCAACTTGGTGGGGTTCGCCCGTGTGCGGGCCTTGTCATTGCGACGAGTCCAAGGGCTACGATCCCGCGTGTAATAAGACCACGGGCGAATGCTACTGCAAGGAAAATCACTATCAACCCTCTGGTAAGAAAGAGTGCATTCCTTGCGAGTGTTACGCCACCGGAAGCTTCGGCCCTCGCTGCGACACCGAGACTGGACAGTGTCGGTGCAGAGTTGGGGTCATCGGACGATCTTGCACAGCGTGTCCTAATCCATATGCCGAGGTCACCCTTCGTGGCTGCGAGGTAGTGTACGACGGGTGTCCTAGATCCTACGCGGAGGGTCTGTGGTGGCCGAGGACCAAGTTCGGAATGATTGCCATCGAGGATTGCCCTGGCGTGGCCGAGGGAAAGACTTCTAGATCATGCGACGACAAACTGGGCGGGTGGCAGGAACCTGATCTCTTCAATTGCACTTCAGAGGCGTTCATCGAGCAAAGGCACCAGCTAGCCGCGTTAGAAACCAAGGATCTGACGTTGAACACTTACGTCGCCGTTAAAATAGCGAAGGATGTTCACAGAGCGGTGAACGTGACCAAAGAATTGTACGGTGCCGACTTGTTGATCGCTGAATCTCTTCTAGCAGCGTTGTTGCAGTACGAAGAGAGTTTGGTCGGATTGAACTTGACCCACAGTCAAGATAAAGATTACGTCTCTCATCTGGTCGGAATCGCCAGCCACATTTTGAAATCCAAATATTTGGAAAAGTGGTCGAGAATTGAGACTCTCAACGGCGACGCTCCTGACAAGATATTGGACGCGATGGCGAACTATTTAAAGACCCTGACTGCGTCTCAGCATGATATTTTTACCAATCCTTTCGAAGTAGTCGATGCTAATGTCGGTAAGTAGAATGAACGTCTTTTTTTTTAATTCAAGATGCAGATTATTTTTTGTAATACCGATTTCACTAATGGATCGTTTTCAGTATTGGGCCTGGACATAGTAACTTCTGAAAGTCTATTCGGATACGAGACGGCGGAATACTTGGAAGACCCATCAGCGTCTACGATAAGGCCAACTGAAGCGGATCAGAAAGTCGTCTTGCCCGATACCTCTGCGTTCTTGTCGTCACCTGCCCATTTCGGCCCGTCGATTACCTTCCCAAAGTATAACAATTACATGGCCGATCCAAACAGATTCGATCCCTATTCAAAGATACGAGTGCCTCTTAACGTGCTAGGCATAAAACCTTTGATACAAGGGGAGTTAAACGTTAAGAAAAGTTTGGTCAATCGGAAGGCTGTGTTGAGTTACGTGCAATATAAACAATTGGGTGCCCTACTGCCTCAAAGGTAAATAATTGTTACTTTACGCATGGCATATATATTGTTTATTTCGTTAAACGCATAGACACCCTAGTGTGACGTTAATCGAAAATTATTTTTTCAGATTTGACGATTCCGTAGCTGTTAGATGGGGCGTGGAAGTAGCGGTAGCTTCGCCAGTCGTGACAGTATCCGTTTTAGTTCCTTCCGACAACGGTTACGAGTCTCTGACTGGAATTCCCCTCCAATCCCCAGTTCAAATTAGTCTCTGGCTTAGCGAGAAGGATGAATTTAAGACTAGAACCAATCCGCAATGTGTACATTGGAGCACGATCAGAGGGTACGTTTTGGTAACATTTAATTCTTAATAGCAGTTCTTTGAATAATTTAGAATGATTTAGAAAATCTTAAATAAATAATTAAGATTCGTTTCTGCATTGCAGAGTCGGCGAATGGAGTCGAATAGGTTGTACCACAGAGATTGAGGATGATTCCTTGTCATTCGGCACTATTGTAAACTGCTCCTGTTTCCAATTGTCCACTTTCGCAATATTGACGGACGTACTCGATCCGGAGTACGTTCCAGAACCGTCCTTGCTTGAAGATGTAACAAGCTACAGCGCGTTCATGCTCGCGTTGCCTTTGCTGTTGTCTGCCTTACTCATTCTGGCCTTGATACGAGGCGGTGGTACAAATTCAAATAGCATTCACAAAAATCTGGTAATGTGCGTTTTCGTCGCCGAAGTGCTTTACTTGGTCGCGCTCAAAGCGAGAAGCCCCCTAGTCTCGAATGAGTTCCCATGTAAACTGACGGCAATTGGTTTGCACTATGCCTGGTTGAGCACATTCTCGTGGACTTTGGTAGACTCTATTCATCTCTATCGGATGCTCACCGAAATGAGAGACGTGAATCATGGACAAATGAGGTTCTACTATACGATGGGATACGGCGCTCCAGCTATCATCGTTGGACTGACTATTGGAGTCAGAGCTGATCAATACGGAAACTTTTATTTGTACGTATAGTTTCTGTGTCTTTTATTCAAATATCTTGATAAAAGAAAAATTGTTAAATGACGAGTATCTTACGTATTTCAGCTGCTGGTTGTCAATTTATGAAACTGTGATCTGGTCTTTGATTGGCCCAGTTTGTCTGGCTGTCTTGGTGAATTTCTGTATTCTCGTCATGTCAGTACGAGCGGCTTTCACGCTAAAAGAACACATTATGGGTTTTGGGAACTTAAGAACGTTGCTCTGGCTATCGGTAGCTTCGTTACCTCTTCTTGGGTCTACGTGGACTCTGACAGTTCTCAATGCCTCCGAAAATTCTCCAACACTGTCATACCTGCTTAGTATAGCAGTAGTTGTTCACGCGTCATTTAGCTTGATTGGATATTGCTTCATCAACGGCAGAGTACGAAGAAATCTGTATTTGAGTCTGTTAAGGTGTATTGGAAAAAAGACGCCTTTGTTAGAAGGAAGCATGGGGAACGGAAGCAGCAGTCAGAATGTAAATGGTCACTCAGTACGTCGTACAGTTTTATCCGATTGTGCCAAATCAAATGTGAGAGAGGTGGTTTTTCTAAGTTCAATAATATTACAGCGATCCGCGTTGGCTTATTCATCGACGTATAGTGGGGCAGAGTCCGTATGTAGGAGAGTACACGTAGGAGTCTCAACGAGTAGTACAACCTCACGAAGTACAAATAAGACTGGATCCAGTCCCTATCGTAGCGATACACATTTGAGGCATACATCAACATCCACAAGCAATTATAATAGCGACAGAGATCCCTATATGTCTTCTAGGAGTCATCGATCAACGTTACACTCTAGACAAGGTATTTGTCTGATCTGAACTTTCATGATAATTATTTGTAATAACATCAACAATTTGTAGAAGCGACAGAACCAAGGAATCAACGTAGAGATTCCGAATCGGATTCAGACGGCTCCCAAGCGGAAGGTGGAGGAAGGAGTTTAGATCTAGCGAGTTCACACAGCTCCGACGAAGAAGATGTCACGTCGAGATCGCACAGGAACATGGGCGTTTCGACGCAACAACCCGTCGCGCACAACTACTTGCCTAATATTCACACCAATCCCACCGAACACTTGAACATACTTTGCTCAAACACAGAACTATTCCCGAACATTAAACCTATTTATGCACCTAGGTGGAGTTCTCAATTACCAGAAGCATATTTATCGTCAAATGGTAAATCTCAATAAGCTCTTGAGAACTTTTGGAATATTTCAAACTAAATTGCAACAATATTTTGTTTGTAGTAATAGACGTGCGCGGAAGTCAATGGTCCGGAGGCACCATGTCCGACAACGAAATGGCCTCGAACAAAACCTCCAGTCCAAATCCGCTGCCTTACCCTGAAATGAACTCGCCTCAGAAAAGTCAACCGGATGAAAATTACTCGGAAGGGGAAGAGAAGCTTCATCATCTCGGAGAGAAATACTTGTTTCCATATACCGCCGAAGAAGATCACACTGTCTCGCCTACTCCTTACATGCTACCCATTTCATCGCGCATTCTCGCCTCCAGCATGAGCCACCATTCGCAAAATTCAAACCACGAGAATTTGAGCGGCTCGGAGCGGTATGGAAGTTTGAAGAGGGGGCAGAGTTTACACGGTTCTCAGCACGATAATCTCAGCGGCTCGGAGAGATACGGTAGCTTAAAGCGCGGCAAGATTACACCGACCGTGCTAGAAGATTCACCGGAGTATATTCTACCCATGAGCGGTAGAATATTGTCTAGTTCGCTGACTCACGATTTACAGCATAGCAATGAATTGGCTGCGCTTAGACAGCAGCAACAGCAGCAATACGAACAAACCATTACAGAGACCGAGTGAGTATGATGCATTATATTTGTAAGAGACATATTTTTTGCGTCACAATAAATCGTATTTATATAGTTTAACTAACTTTGTTTACTTTATAATTTACGCTTACCCTGGAACGTAATAATTAGCGAAGAGGTAAGCGTTCTGCAGGAATATTACACATTTCTAAGAGTATTTATTAAAAACTTTGTTAAAGACCGAATGTCATGCTGAATTCGAAACTTTAATGAACACTTTGTCATTTTTCTTTTCTTTGTGATTGTTTCAGGAAGGATACTAATGCGGAAACGTCAGTATGACGATCTCTGTTCTACAAATAAACACCGTACAAAGTAATATAACGTACTATTAACTTAAAACTCAAATGATTAAATATATATATATATAGATAGATATAGATATAGATATATATTTCTTAGAGTGTTACTACTCTAAGGTATATTTTAAGAGCGGCCATGACTGTACTTACAAAGCTAGCCATATGGATTAGTATGTATGTATGAGTGCCTGTACGTATATATGCATACGCTTGTTGGTATTTCGTTTCGTGTGATTCCAGCTTCTGTTCGGAAGCAATTCTTTCGGCTTCTTCATTGCGATAACCGTGATGAGATATCGGAAGACATATGATCTCTAGTTCATTTCATCATGTAATTAATATCACTTTCCCTAGTACCTTAATTTCTAAGCTCAGTATTGTGCAATGTGTATACATTCCAATTTCATTTCATATGTATTTAGGTTCTATTTTCTTTCCTCTTTCTTTCTTTTTTCCTTTTTTTTTTTTTTTTTTTAAGAAGTTTACAATGTTTTATATATGGAAAAAGCGTACAACTGTGCGGCGCAATTTTCATAGTTTTGTATATATTTATATGAAAAAAATGTGACAAAATACATAATTTATACATATTCCTCATTGGGTGATCGCGAGTTTTCTATATCCCGTTTATTTACTCTTTCTCTTTTATTAAATACTACGGCGTTTGCGCGGCTCTGTAATTAATATCGTCGATAAAAATTACCTTTATTCTCATTGAAAATATAAATAAATTACAAAATATAGTGTAGGTTAATATTCGGAAGATCGTCGTGTTTAACATAAAGTCATTGCGATATCGCCGAGCTCTACCAGACAGTTTTCGAGCATTTATTAACGAGACATTATCGACAAGTCTTACTCATACTCAGCATTTTGATATCATGTTTCTACCAAGGTACGTTATACACAGATAAATGTAATCCATGTCAAGTTACGCATTAGAAGATTTCATTTCGAGCATTTATAAGAGATTCTCTTACGCACAATAAGGTATAAGTATGTATATTATATATATATATATATATATAAAATGATGTGCAAATGTCAGAAATCTTGCTGTGCAAATCCAATCAGAATTCAATTCTTACTTATGCGTTTGCCAATGAGTTATCGAAGTTCTATTCATGCACGATTTTACAATTGGATCTGCTTGACTGTGGCACACGCACATCACAATTAACTGCTAAGACTAGGAAATTCATCGTCATTGCTACACAGTGCTTTCAGTGTCAGACGCCATAGACAACGTTTGGAGCTTCGGTACGGAATAATTTTCCGAATGGCCATGAGACTGCGAGCGATTCGATATTCTTTCCAAGGTTGATGGGGCCGATGGGGTGTCCTGATGTGCTTTCGGTGGTATTGGCGGTGGACTCACCTAAAACGTGAAACGATAATGTTGATAACGTAAAACGCAAACGTGTGAAACGAATAATCGAAATTTTGGCAGAGAAACAATTACCTCTTGACCCGGTAAGGAATGTGATCCCTGAAATGTACCGCTCGCGAAATTTCCAGTAGAAACGTTCAACACGTTTATCACAGACGGAGGTGATATATTCATAATGTCGTTGCACCTTGCCCGTGGTTCAAAGTCCTCGTAACCGAGGTTGTTCAAATTAGTCAAGTGCGATTGGAAATCTAATAAGCTAGCAGTCGATATGCCGCTGTCGCGAAGATCGTTCGGTTCATTCTGTGCTTCTGAATCGTCGTCTGTGCTCCATTCTGTGTTGCGTTTGTACGCTAAACGCTTCGGTGGCGCGGGTGGTACTACGATGTTTGTATTCGAATCTCTCTTGTCGGGCGCTGTAACATGAAATTTTCAATTGGCTTCTTGCAGCTGTTGACACAGAAATTCGAATCAAGAGAACTGCAACGTGGTTCGTGGACCAAGGAGTCGCAAATTCTTCCAAGCCACGTGTATAATTACAATGTTCTCATCGCTGTACAGTGTTGCGCAATTATTAGATAAATTCAACATCTGTATCTGCAAGATCTGAATGGCTCATAAATTTCAATTATATCTCGAAGGAACACTTACTGCAACCTCTAGGAGGCAAAGGTGGCGCTGGTTCAGGGCCAGGCTCACTCCATGACGTTCTCAAACCAGTCTGATCCACTCCGTCCGTTGGCGTTGGCAGAGAATGTCTCAATGGTAATTTCGGACTTAACGGCTTGCTCAGAGATCTCTGATGCGTGGGTCTGGGTGGAGTGGTGCCATAACCCACCGAACGTGGCCGTACTTCCCGTTGCGGTATAGGTGGCGGTCCACCGTCTACTTTTGTGTAAAAACCCTCGTCTTCGGGTAGGCCGTCGCTGTCCGCGTGAGAGGTTCTGCAACCTGCCGTTTCCAACGTGGCTGGACGTTGTTTCTCGTTAACGGGCAACGGAGGCAACGGTGAACTAAGGAAATTACAAATGAACACGAAGATTCAAATCCAGTACAAAGTCGAGAATGTTGTTGCAAGTTCATTTGCAAGCACAAAGGAAAATGCACAATTTTTTTAATTACTTGACAATGCTGTCCTGATGAATTGTTCTTTGTCTTGCTAGTGGACCGAGGCCCTGTTTCAGCTGCGTGAATCTTTCATTGAGTCTCTTATGCAGCGGTTGCACGCCAGCCGGTGCAATTTGCCCGTGTAAATTCAATCCAGCCTCCAAAACGCTCATTTGATCAAGGATCAAACCCTTCAGTCTGTTTACGTGCGGGACCATTTCCGGATTTTGTCTGGCGAATTCAGGAGTGAGAAAAGCCTCTTGGTACTTGGTGATACCACCCATTACGTTTGCGTCGATGATGCCTTGGAGTCGCATGCTAAAGGGGTTAATGTTTCCATTAGGTTCGGCAGTGTATTGTGCAACAAGTCTCCTCAATTCTCTCTCCACGCTCAGCATAGTTTCACAGGCGTATTGCACAGGAGCTAGTAACTCTGATCTCTTCTCGATCACTTCGAACCATCTAAGTATACCGGGTAGTTTCTCCTCGGTGGTTAACGTGGTTCTTTCGATCCAGAGAGATTTAAACTCGTTCTCGCGATCGACCGGTCCTCTGTGAAGTGGCCGATCGAAGATAAACTTCCGGACGTCGTTTACCAAATAAAACGCGACCACTCGCTCGGGCACTTCTGCACCCCGACAGGCTAGACTATTTTCCTCCGGGATCGGTTTCACGTTGCAAATCTGTATGTCTGAAATGTTGCGTTCGAAGCGTTACAAGCATCCGCGATCTGTTAATTGGAAGGCGGAGCAACGAATGAACTTACATTGTCCCTCGGAGGTGAGGATGCTCTCGTCGGGTGGCGAATTCTTCATTAATATTTGTGCGCTTGGAAATTCAGTCTGTAGTCGTTGCGTGAATGCCCCTATTCTTTCGTATTCTAAACCGCGATAGATGAATAGCTTATTCTGCAGAATTATAACAAACAAATTGGGGATTAAATCGCGTTCTCATTAATCGAATCTGATTCAAATTTCATCCTCTTTATAAACTATTACCTACCCTAACGAAGAGAGGGAAACTAAGACCATAAAATCCTACTCTAAAGTACTCTGGTTCTGGCCGAAGCTGCGTCAATATGTTGTCCAGGAATTTGGCTTGCAGTTTGAGTACGTTGCTGAGTTTCGCATAATCGTACAACCTGGTCTCGTACAACATTGCCAATTCCTTACACAGGGGGATACCTTTCTCCCAACATTTGCCTCGATCCAGGTAATGAATTATCTTGTGATAAAGAACTTCTTTCCTCTGCCATTCTGGCTGCTGAGGATGCGAGTGATCAGGAGGTAAAATTGTGGAACTCCAGCCAAGCTGATCGGCGTATAATTTCATTGTGAATCCAGCCTCTGTATAGTTCTCGGCTGCTAAGTGCAGGTCGTGAAGCTTGTAAATATAACGCAGGTACATCTCCTTACGATTGAATTCATTTTTGTAAAAATTCTGAAGAAAAGACGGTGACGAGTCATTACTTTGATCTTCGCTTCTCTCCGTGCAAATGCGAAGTTTCTCACCTACCAATAAATTAACAGTACACGACATACGCTTGTCGCGATTCTCGTCCCCCTGAATCACGCTTCTGTAGTCTAACAATCTTTCCAGCAAACGCGTAATTGACGTGATGAATGCAGTTCCGCTGTCCTTCCAGGCTGGATCTTCCGATTGAACTCTGTCCAATAATCTGCGGACAGAAATGAATTAAATGTTTCATTCATGTGCGTGTGTATGTGTGTGTGAAACTGTGTGTAGTTCAGTTGCGAATCTGAATGATGCACTTACACAGCGCTAAGATGTTCCCTAACGCAGCATGAAATTTAAATGAAATAAATTACTACTAATGCCAACGAATAGATTCGTGAATACAGATTTGTTTTTAATCAGAAACATTCTCACGAGAATAAATTACCACTCACATCGTGTTAAACAACTGTCTGTACTCGTCGTCACCTTTATTCTCGCTGATCAAGATATCCAGTTTGTCGATCAATTCCGATTCCACGGATCGGAAGCTACCGCGAGCTCGTTGCTCACATTCCATCATATCGAAAAAGATATGCAACGTGGCCTTTCTCAGTTCGCTTTCGGGAACCAAGGTAACTTCCAAGAATGGGCCTACCATTCCAGGAATAAACTCCAGCTTACGGTCGCCCAAGTAAGTCCACATGGAGAGTATTTGAAAGCCCATCAACACCCTCATGTCTGCGTACTTCTCGACGATCTTTTCACGCTTCACCTCGGTGAATTGCTCGAGTTGCAAAGACGGCTGAGTGAGGTACGCCACGGCTAGATTAAAGTACGTGGACCAGAGTTGCGAGTCGAAGCTACCTTTCAAAGGTTGAGCGAGTTCCTGCAGTGACTTCAAGATAACGCTGTTCGCTTGCATTCTAATTACCAGCCAATCCGGCGGAAACACCTCCTGTTTGACGAGGTCGCGTAGAACTAGGAAAGCTCTTAGTAGAAAGTTCTTCAGGGGTTTCTGCTCGCCGGTGTGAGCTAGCTCCTCCCAAAGTCGAGCATAGTGATACTCGTCTAGAAGCTGAAGCAATCCTATCAAGCAAGCTACCAGACAGCCCAACACGGGCCCGCTGGTATTTATTACAATCAGAATGGTCTGTATCAGTACGTCCAGGATAGAGAGACACAGAGTTTCGACGTCGTGCTGAATACAGTTGTTAACTTTGTTCGTGTCTCGCCCCCTTTTGTGCAGAAAGCTGAGGATTTCTCCCAGAATCTCCGTGCAAGATCTGAGCTCCTCTCGTCTGACTAAATGAACTTTCAAGTGTCGGCACATCGTAACCAACAGCAGGTTCCTGCTCTCGTCGTCCTCGCGGAACAACGACGAGGTAGTCAGATTTTTGATGGCCGTTAATTTGGCTTGCGTGAGCTGCAACGGTGGCTCCCTTGGCACCGAGTCGAGCATCGTGCAAGTGAGTTTCGCCACCTCGAGGACTGGCAACACAGCGACTAGTTGCTCGAACACTGCCGAGATCGAGTAAAGTAAAGCTATCTGAGAGTGAAGCACCATCTCGTACGGAATGCCCAGCATCTTGTTCAACGCGGCGAACACGCAGTACAGGTCACGTTTGAAACTGTCCTCGTACTGGCCGGCTGTTGCTCTAGCGAACAACAGGCGACTTTGAATGATGAACTTGAAGATGTACTCCAGAGAACGGAAACACTTGATTATAGGCTCTTGCTTCTCCGCCGCGGTCACCCAATCCGCGCAATGTTGCACGCTGCTTAGAAGGCCCTTGTACACGAGCGCAGCAGCGAAATGACCAGAAATATAAGCGTCCATGACTGGCTTGAAATGCTCGAACTTGGAGTCCTCGAGAAGGCTGAAGATGGAGACGAGCACTTGGAAGACTAAACCCGAATGAGCCGTGGAGTTACCGTCCTCTGTATGAAACATGGAAAACAGAGCGTCCAAAATGTCCTGCAGGAACTTGACCAATTCCTCGCCGTCCAGTCGCAGTACGCGGCCTAAAGCCTCTGAAATTCGTTCGGGATGCGCCTTCCACTGCAACAAACTCAGAAGGTCGACGTTTTGCGTCAGTTTCGTGCTGCAAAGTAATGTATGAACGAACACGGCTTCCTTCGGGGACCTGGAGAATGCTGGCGAACCTGAGAAACCGAACGAGAGATGAGAGTTAAGTCTCGAGATATCTCATATATAGAAGAATATTTTTACCTGTTGCGTTTGGTTCCCGAGCACTACTGGGCAAAGTGAGGTAACTCAACGAATCCAACTTGGAACGATCCTCGCACTTATAAATGTACAGCTCGTGAGGGCCGTCTTGAAGCGTGGCTCCTCCAGGTTCCATGAGACGCACGAACGCGAAGGAGAACAATTTCTTATCGTTCTTTTCGCGTGCTGCGTTAAAAAAAAGAAAAAACAAGGAAAGTTAAAAAAAAACTATGAGAACTGCATATTCGGCGCGCCAAGAACTGTTAATCTGTGCGAAGGAATTTCAACAGCTTACTGGAACAATGCCGGAATTCAAAGCGGACGTGGCTTCCATAAAACTTGTCTATAGGTATCGCCAATCGAACCGTCTCGGCCCACGACGGGCTGTTGTGATGATATATAACCAAACTTTGATACTCAGAGCTGCCCTCCATTCCAGCAGCGCCGAACAAGCATTCCTCCAGTGGTTGACCGTCCGCGTCCAAAACCAAAATCGTCACCTACGACACGATTTCGTAGATTATACTTTTCCTTGCAAGTCGAACCCACAGCTTTCATTACACAATATCGATGAAATATAAATACCTCGATGTTCTTCCCCGTGGATTTCCCACCTCGTTCGAACTCACCGCGTTCCAGTTTCAGGTACAAGTCATTTCGCACGTCACCCGGCATAATCACGTCGGAGAAGCCGAGCTTCTTCGTCAGGCAGATGTTCTTGAAAAGCAGAGGATTCTCCTCGCGAACCTGGGACAGCTCGCCGTGTAGCACGCGCAGCGAAACCACTATGCCGTAGTTAGGCTGGCCCGGAAGCGGGGAACACTTGTTGTTGCGGATGATCTGCTCGTGCAGCTGATGAAACTCCTTTTCTTCTCCTTGGCACACCTTGAGACAATGCTACTTATAATCTCTCGGCGCGTGTTCGACGCTGTACAGCTTACCTTGAACGTCATTTCAAGTTCCTCGGTGTGATCCTGCGTGGCCTCGGCAAGCGAGAGCACCGCGACACCGTGGGGCCTTCTGTACGTGGCGGTCCCCGTTTTATTTTTCCCCGAATCCGAGTACAACATTCTCCCGCACCGCATAACGTGCGCGACCATGTAAAGATCTCTGCTGAGGTCTGCATTGCCGAGGTCCGTGAAGATCGTACAGTTGCTGTGAATTTTCTCTATGAAACTGGAGAACCCTTCCTTGGAGATCCGAACCAGGAAACGCTCGCTCAGATATTGATTTCGCTTCGCGTCGTACAGGGAGAAGTAGATCTCTGTGTCCTCGCCGATCGAGTGGCCGAAATCCCTCATGCAGAAGTAAAGATGATGGGTCAGCACCTTTCGGTGCTCCTTCCGCCTGAGAGTTCCCCTAGCCGACGCCCCTTGTGAATTCTCCGCGCTCTGAACGTGCTGAAATCGATAAAACGTAAGGGAGGAATGCGTAAACGTCTCTCCGCGATTCGTACACACTATCGTAAGTATCCGGATAATTTCATCGATCTGCAACGACGACGCACGAATCTCGAATAATGCCGAAAAGAGTGGCACTTGCCAAGTCCTTTGTGGAACGATCGGTTTATTAAAAAATAGGCACACGGCACAGTTCAATTGTTCAAGAGTCCATCGTCTTTCTCTTTTTCTCGTAACTGAATTACACACTGATTTCTCGTTCACATTCGAGGAGTGAACATCCATTCCACTTTGCGACGAGATATCGAAACCAGCGGAGTTACAAATATAGAAATTTCGATCGAACGTTGAAAATTTTATGCCGTGACCCGCGCGTGCACCGAATGCATCCCTAAAGCCAGAGCTTCATTCCAATTCTTGCGGAGTGCTCGAAATGGTCAGTGGTCCGACTGGAATTTCAATGAGTTTCAGCGATACGCGTTACAGCGAGGTATGAAACGCTCGAGTACTTTCTCCGTCCCTCTCTTTCCATCCCTTTGGAAGTATCGAGCTCTCTTTAACGCAATTTTACCATTTTTTTTTCAATCGATACCGAGTTGCCACTGCGTGCGTTGGTTGAAAAATTGTTGAAAAATGTTGGCGCACAGCGTTACGTTTATTGGGCCGGTTTTCACGCGTTTAATTACGCGGGATATTGTATCGTAGTAATTACCACGTGATAGAGTTCCACGAGTGACATGGTATCCGGATCCACCATGTGAGCCCCCTGACGTGGTACCAGGTCCAATCCCAGCTTCCTGAAACGTTAAAAGTGTCGCGTGGTTAACTATTGCAATGTACGAGCAATAGCGTAAAAATTTTAATTGTTTGAACTAAAACTAGATTATCGTGGACGAAGAGTATGTATATATGTATGTACATAGTTTTACAATGGAAAGGATATGCGCACAGTAGGATTCAGAAATTGATCGGGGCTCGAAAGTACACGAGTTTTGGCCGACGGAACAGAAATTTGAGATCTAAGAAGAGGCAAAGTGCTCGAGCCTTGTCAGAAATATGATAATGATAATATCGACTCAGAACTGGTTCCTTTTTTTCACAGGATAATTTTATTCAACGTAGTGCAATCACCACGGAGTAGAAAGCGACAGACAGTCAACATATCCAAGTTAAAATTAATTCAGAAATTCCAACGAAACGAACGCTCCGTGTTTAAGATAGACGAGATCAGTCAGGCGCGTGTAAAAATTCCTTCCCCGCTAAGTGCATTTCGCTGTACATCATTCGCACAGGCGCAAAGTGAAGTCAAAGATCTTTTTTCTACCTTTCTGTACCTCAATATCAAAGACTCTATCCGGTGGAGTCGGACGAATCTCATCTTCAATGAACGAGGCCTAGCAAAAAGGGGTTGAAGGACCATCATCGGACATGATCGACGGGGGAGGGTAGCGCGATCCAATTAAACCGGGCATCGCGTCGGTTTCGCGAAGTTTAGTTTCTGAAGTGACGGAGCGGTATAGTTAACTTCCCATGACCCCGGATGGCCGCATGCCATAGGGCCGACGTGTTCTCGAACGCATCGGGGGCCCTACAGGCCCGGCTACTCGCCAGGGTCCTCGCGTGGCCCCTTCACCTCGCAGGAATGCAGCCATACGCCGCGCGCGTTTCGACTCCGCTCGACTCGCTTTTCCTTCTCCTTTCGCGTGCACGCGCTTCTGTCCCACAGAATTTGCATTCCGATGGACACGGGCGTTTTTTTCGGGGTTAAATTTTCGCCACAGAGAGAGAGACAGAGAGAGAGAGAGACAAAGGAGGCGAAGACAAGCCGGAGGATGTTACGAAACGAGCTAGAACGTCGCAGAAATAGCCCGATTGATTGAAAGGAAACGCGTCGAGCTACTAGCATAATTCGCGCTGACCTGGAAATTCTGTGGTGTAACTGTGTAACTTCGTTGGAAATGTAGTGGACCGTGGAGTATCTGAATATTTGTTGAAAACATTTTGATGAATGTACCATGCTGCTTGAAACAGTTTGCTTGTTTCGTGAAAATAAAAACGAAGCTCTTATAAAGCTTTTTTTTTTTCTTCTTTTTTTCTTCTTTTTTTTTACACATTGTTCACGCGTAACATTGTAATGAAAATTAAGTTTCAAGTTTTGATACATACAGACCCAAGCAATGCTTGTAAAAATCAAACATGACATGAAACGAACGTTCTATTCTGAGTATACAAATATTATTTTTACACTGTATATGTATAAAGAACTCTATACAAGCTGCGATATTTAATTGTACCTCAAAGCCATTTTTCAGTCATCTTTTTTTTTTTTAACAGATGTCTGTGAAACGTAAAATCATAAGTAAATTTATTTTAACTTTATTTGAGGAGACTTAAAAGAAAAGAAAATATGAAATTACTCCCAGACGCGTCGGAAATTGAATTTCTCTCTATAAAAAAAGCAAAGATCCAGGAAAAAGGGAACGGTTGTTCAAATTTGGACAATACGATTGTATTAACATGATTGTTTTAATAGAATAAAACAGTCCTTGTGTTTAAATAATAGTCATTATTTAAAATGCAAACACCTTTGGTGAAACGGACGTGCAATTTCATTGCTCTTAAGCGATAATTAAACCGTGAATTCCGAATGGATTTTGGGCGGATCAGGGAAATGAAGTGGTACTCGAGAGCGAGCGTTGCTTTTGCTTCTCGCTTCGTCTCTCGTCTGTATCCTTCTCACCGCCCATCGTACGACTACGTTACCGATTCTAACCGATTCGGTGTACCGTCCTACGCCCTCGTCGACTCGCCAACTAGGGGCGTATCTAATTTTTTCCGCCGACTGACTTTGAATTTCACGGGGAAACAAATTGTCTCGTAGCGAATGAACGTACGATATAATTCTACAGACTCGGGGATAAACTGCTTCGGTATATCAATTTTGAAGCATCTATTTACTCAATGTTTTCTCACAGACGGCCACCTCTCTTTCACTTCTTCTCAGATTCCTTTCTCGCGAGGGAATGATAAAGAAAAAAAAAAAAAAAAAATACAAGTGGTGCACGATCAAGCATTGCTTTAAGTCTGCTCGTATGGACTGAACGTGAGCATCAATGGCGATCGCCGAATGGGGCGGTTTCACGATCCGCCGACGCGATACGGTCCTGGATATCCTGAAAGGTCCCCCCGGTTGATGGAATGCAGGTGAGCAGGCAGAGTTCGATGCGTGGAGACAGGTACAGGCATGTCCGCCACGTCGTTCGGACCTATGTCCCATTCCAAAGATATCGGATATATTCTCTCTCGGAGCGGCGACGCGACGTTCGGTTCATCGCGAGGATCAGCCGTCTGGCTCGAGGAACGGAAGACGAGAGCCATCATCCTTCGCTCGTTTCTCTTCGTTGCGTCGAAAGAGGCCCCTCTCGGTCCCATCGGATGACGAATTCGTTCGGCCAATGGCCGCGCGCCGGCCACCACGAGACTCCGGAGGAGTCGATTCACTTGCTGCGTCGTCGAAATATTTTCAAGCCACGATCGGAGCCAATGGAAATGTTTATAATTCGGGAAATCGATCCTAAAATTGCGTATATAACGTGTGTTAAAATGGAGACGATCGATCGTGGCAACGAGAGACTGAGAAGAGTCAAGCGTGCGAAGAATTATAGATAATATAAAAGTATGAAGATACTTCACGTTAAAAACTTGATGCATGCAACGTTCAAAATTGCGAAACTTTCTTTCCTGCCACGATATTTTACCCAAATTTATTCAGGCTGACTTAAACTACGATCGATGCCACCAAGAACTTCTTCAGCTTCTCTTGAAACAGATGTACGGGTGGAAGTAAAGTTCCAGGGGACATTAAAAGTTTCAGTTTAGCCTGAATTATTAAACTCGATGCCGGGGATTCGTAAGTTTGAGACAGTTGACGGCTCGGACTCGTTCAGACATGGTTGAACTTCAAGTTCAACCCGGAGAATTGATGACCCGACGGCAATAACAAGAGAGAAATTTTGTTGCAAATCAATGGATGGTAAACTTTTCAGCTGCGAGGTATTCTTTGCGGAATTCAGTGAGCATTCGGTAGCTTTAAACGCTGTAATTACGTCGGTGCTGCTGCGAGTTGGTGAACTCCTGTTTCTGCTTCAAACTGACAATCAATTATTAGCCTTCGTTCGCCTCGCACCGTTCCTCGCGCTGTCTTTATATTTCACCTTATTTCTTCTGCTTTACGCCGACCAATTAGCTCCGCTCTTTTCACATTTTTCATCATAAAGAAGATCTAGCTGCTACGATTTTTTTCATTCTGCAAATTTCAAATCCAACAGTATTATGTAAATTTTACAGCTTAAGTGTCACCGCAATTGTTAACATTCATTTCTTACGAGAAGTCGAAAATGCACAGAAATAAAGGAACGTTTTCCAAGTCGTTCATTGTAACATCTTCGTCGATGATTTCATTGCGCTTTCTGGGAATTAGAAATAATCTCAGTGCTGCAAAAAAAACAAAGTTCCACGCGAATAATATTGTTGCTACAGAAAAAAAAAAAAAAAAAAAAAAAAAAAAAAAAACAGAAATCATTCCCAAATATTTAAGACGTCGTCGCTATCAAACGAACGAACATCGTGTAAAAGCAAAGTTCGTAGATACTGTACTCGCAAGTAGTACAACGCGGTTTCTCGCATTCGTGTAAAATGGCCTTAATAGGAGTGTTTCCTGATCCCGGAACGAGTAACAAGACTCGTACGTATAGCAAAGGGTTCGTGGGAAGACGAACGCCGCGTCTGGTTTGCCCGAGGGTATACATACACACATACACAACGAGACGTAGTATATGCATCAGGTTCCTCTACAATAAACGTTCCAACGACTTGTGGCCGCGCTCCCGAGCGCAGTTGCAGTTCCGTGCAACGTCGGTCTCTCCGGCCGCTCCGGCAGAAGATAGCAGGCAATGGTGGTAGTAATAGATGTCAGGGCCAAATCCTCGAGTCCCCACGATCTCAATTAGATCAAATGACGCGCGATTAAGCGCGATTAACCGCGAACCTTTCGGTTTTTCGTTGCTGACGGACGCCCAAGTCGCTGCTTCGCGCCCCATTATTCATTTACAATGGCTGGAAATTATTTTGTTCCTTCAATATCGGGTGAAACTGGACGTAAAAGAAAAACAGGCGATATAAATACCTATTTGTTGATTTGAATGCACACATCTGCTTTCGGCCATAGGAATTCGGACACTAGGGCCCTCTTGCACAATGGCTGTCAATTAAGTCGACATTAGTGAATTGACAAGATGCGAGATTGTAGGTTATGATTTTTCTTCTTGTACATCAACCCTGAAATTGGGTTTCGAATCAAGTGACACGTAATTTGTAAAAACTCACTTGTAAATACTCTTGATACTCACAGCCAGCAATTTCTCGAACAGTTACGTTAGTCAAGTACAACGATCAAAGTAAAGAAAAGAGACGCGTAGATGCTCAAGTCACTAAGGTAAGATCTCTAAATGGTACGCGTTACTCTCTGGGTACCGAGTAAAGAAAAGCATCGATGCCATCGTTGGACGCTTATTAAGTTCGACGATCGCTGCCATTCATTAAATTTCTTTCAGCGAAGTAGCAGCGCGTCGGTAGCATGCCATGAAAGCCCCTCTCCTCTCCCTTCTACTACCTAAGCGCTTTTTCCCTTCACGACGCGCTACCTCTCATCGTACAGCCCTGGGCCCGAGTAGAACAACGCCAGCACCGTGCTACGCCGAGGCGAAGGCAAAAAGAAAAAGGCTACCTTACGGAGAATAGAGGCAGCGTTTCCCAACCTTCGGGGACCTTTTCTCAACTACTCGCGGCTGCACTTCGAGAGACTCTGCCACCCTTTCTTCTTCCTCTCTTTTAGATTGCTTTTACATTGCTCACATCACCTGCTCAGACAAGGTTAGGAAATGTACGATATAACGTTTCTTATCTGACCCGAAAATACTCGATTATCGAGTCAACTTCAGTCAAAGGTGTATATGACCTTTCGATACTTTGAATTCTTTTTAAACGGAAGGTAGAAATTCCAAGTTACTTGTTACTGTTAATATCATTTATTCAAATTATCTCGAATTCATTTATATCTTAGGTAAAGAAAATATGAATGGAAACGTAAATGGAAACGGAATGCGCTGTATCGTAAAAAATTAAATTGCTCGGCAGAAAATATTGCTTAGTGATTGCGATTGCACATTTTGGAATTGGGAAACCCTGAAGTGGAAGACGCGAGGGGAACGTGGTTACGTGGTCTGTAGTTTCATCCCGTACCACCGCGTTACCCCAACAAGGAAGCAAAACGTCGAAACGAAGAAAGGAGAAAGGAGAAAGGGAGATGCGTGGAGGAGAAGACACGCGAGGTGGAGCCTCCGGGCACGCTCATTAGAAATAATAATAATTACTACGGCATGGATAATAAACGTTGACGTTTGCTCGATAGGCGCATAGATGGGACGTAAGTTAACCATTACTGGCACACGTAAATTAAATAAATGAAATACGCTCTCGGTCGAATGATTTCTTGTTCACGTTCGACTTGACACGCTCCAACATCCGAAAGACTGTCGCGTGACGTCAAGTTTTCGAGAAGACGTCGAGGAACAAGTCCTGTCTGCGGTCATTGCGTAGAGAACCGTTACTCGCGCGCATACACGAGCAAAGCGAGACATCGTCGTTGTTATATCAGAAATTCATTAAATCAGATCTTAGGCCGATTTAAAGGACAAGGTGTAGGTAATCTAAGCAACGTCGTGGAATGCGTTTCGAGTTACACATTACTTCGATCCAGTTGCACATAAACTCTGTGACAGAATACAAGTATATTTAGGGTAAAGTGTGAAATTGCAGATAAGCGGTACAGAGAAGATTTATTTAGAGCCTACTGTAAATTGTATAAGATGCTCGTCGACGTTACTTGTGCAGCTTAAAGTCAAAAATTTAAGAGGCAAAGAGAAAGGAGGACGAAAGGGGAGAACACACGAGGAGAAGCTTTAAAGAGCCGAAGTGAGGCTCCTCTACCAGAGGGAACAGGTTTCCGGCATGGTTATACACCGCGTATTCAGCGAGCTGAAAACCTTGAGCACTACGGATAGAGAAAGAAGCGTCGACACTTCTCTCTCTTCTCAGATGCTGTGGTTGCGGTTGCTCTTTACAGACACATGATACGAATCGAAAATTTTAACTCGAACCCACACCGAGGTGAGGAACTTCGAAATATTCAGCAACTAAAACTCGCAAACGAAACAGCTTCGAAGGTGACCTCGTCGATTTCATTATTTCTCGTCGTACTGTACAACAATTAACTTTTCAACTGGAGAATTGATAAGAAAATTCGAACGAATTCAATTTAAAAACTAATAACTAAAAATTCTATATTTGTTATAATGCAATTAACAAAATGATAATAAAATGTACTACAATAAGATGTCACTGTGACATACTCAAACATTAAACGTTAAGGACGACGGCAGAATAATTCTCCACAAAATTTGCGGCTCTTACGATTCGTCATCTTTCGGTTACGTGACGGAAATTCATTATAAGCTGTCTGTTGTTCCTCCACGAGACATCTACGAAGATGAACGATCCGCAACGACGAGGAAACAAAAAGTCGAACAAAAAAAAAAAAAAAAGAAAAAGAAGAAAGAAGAAAAGAGACGAGCAACGAGCGATGGACCCGATTCACGATTAATCGCGGTCGCGTTGGTGATTTCCAAAGGCGACTATACGCACCTGATAGAGTCGCCCCCCCCACGCCGCGCTTGGAACTCGGCGAGGCAAGATGGCGGGGAGCGGTGGGGCCCCGAACGAGTCCCTGACTCTCGGGTTCAGTTGCTGTTCGCACGTCGGGCCCCGTTGCTGCGTTACGGCGGCCTCGTCCTGAACTTTTTGAAACTATTTCCAAAATCAGCTAGCTAGAGAGCTCGTGTGAGAGAGAGACAGAGAGAAAGATAGAGAGAGAGAGACATCCGACGTAACCAGCCGGGAGGGAGAGAAAGAGAGAGAAAGAGAGCGAGTCTAACGTGCTGCGTCAGGCATTAACTCTCTCGAAGCGACGCGACGCGTTCATCATTCTTATCCTTCCCCTCTCTTTCTCTTCTCTCGCTTCGATTCCGAGCAGCACGTCAACGAGGGTCAAAGCGAGTTCGAAACGCGTGTTCGACGGTCAAACTCGACGACGGTGATTCGGTTGTGAGGTGAATTGAAAGAAATCGGTGGTTGCCCGTTGAAAACTGTCCTCGGAAGACGGGGACGAAAGAAGAGGCCAGAGAGACGGATCCGACACGTCCGTAGGAAGATTTCGAAGAAAGCTACCTCTCCTTGCAGGAAGGGAAAAAAGCTGATCGTGCAATAAGCGCGAACTTGCCTGTTAGAGAAAGCAAAACGACCACGGAATCGAAAGGATTTAGTCGGTTTTCGACGTGGATTATTGGGAAACGGCTTGCTGCCGGCAGTGCTCGATCGAAAAAAAGGTATTGCTCTAAGTTGCGATCACTTCTTTTTCCCCCTCCGCCCCCCCTCCCTCCCTTTTTTCTTTCTTTTCTCTTTTGCAACGTTACAACCTGGTGGTTGAAACTGGTGGTGGATTCTACGATTCTTTTTCTTTCGAGAGAACAGTCGAAAGTGAAAGATCTTCGCGTTTCGTATCGCGTTCGTACCGTATAATATTTCATTACAAAACAACTGATTTGATAAATTTTTATCTCGAGAAATGTCGAAAGACGTTAGTCGTCGATGTAAGTAATCGTAATGAGAGAAAGAGGCATCGAATAATCAGCCGAGTGAACGCTCGTGTTTACGTTTATGTGTCGAACAGCACGAGTTGGGCAGTACAACATAAATACACGGTATAACCTTTCAAATACCGACTGCTTGCTAATTTTCACCGACGGCCACGTGCCTCTGTCTCTGGCAAATTATTTTCCGCACGATCTACCCGTATACGCGACTCATTAAGACCGCCCTCAATCGACCCCAATTGTTCGAGCACGTCCTTTCAAACGTTAATTACAACAGTCTCCGATGGAAAAATTATCGCGCACGTTGAATTTCATCGATAGTTCCAAGAAAGGAAGGAAATTCCAAGAAACGAAAATTACAAACGGACACACAGGTCAACGAGAAAACGGTGCTTAGGGACTGACCTCCGGTTTTCCCTGAAACTTTCCAACAGTGTCCCTAATCGCTATTGTCGTTCGACAACGGCCACAGTTTCATAAACATCAAATTCAGTACTGTCTACGGTTATTATTATCCTGCAATTTAGTAACATTTTGAATGATTAAGAAGATGCAGCGCACGTGTACGAGTTAAATTTCGAAATTGTCCGAGAGATCAGGAACATTATCGACAGACTCGAAAGTTGAATTTAGAATTGCAGGGCGATGCGGAGCGGCGATCCTCAGCGATCCACGCTTCCAACTTTCACCGTAAGATAAAAGCCTGATAAAGGACGACGGGGGCCTTGCATACAAAGCTTCACAAATACGATTATCTCCACCAAGTTGAAAAGGACTGGCGGTAGGCCTGGCCATTTGTGTACGCAGTGAATCCGAGTTTGACCACGTTTCGTTGAAACTTTGACAAAGATAACTCAGCCTCCAAGATACTGCTTCCAAGAAACGTGTAATCGTTCCACAACTCGAAATGTCGTGTACACAGTTACGCGTTGTTAGGTGTTGAACAAGATCCACAGTAGAACTCCATTTATCTCAATCTATTGATAGGCAAGAACAATTTGTGTAAGTGGAGTTCATGTAATAAGAGTTCGTTAATGTAGAAATTGCAAGGTATTTATTACAACCACGTATATGACCAAAATATTTAAACTATCCATTAGTCGTTACATTAATGAATCACAGTATAATTGTTTTACCAACAGTTACAAATTTGAACAATATGACCGTTATGTCTCATTAGTGTTGGAGAAGAAGTGTTCGGAAAATCTCCTACATGTAATATATACTGTGTATTCACAATAGTTTTTTTTTAAATCGGAGATTTAATGAAATTGACCAAAATTTCATTCAAACAAATTTGATGTTTCGCGCGTTCTTCTTCTTTCGCTAGTAACTGATTCACGGACCATAACGAGTGACCAAACCGTATACGATAATTCGTCATCTTTTTGAATTCATCGGTATATCACTGGACAGAAATTACTAAGAAGTAATAAATTTATTATTTGTTTTGCCTGGGTTATATTTCGATATACTTAAAACTGAGAAAATATTGCAATTTTGGGGCCAAATATTGTTGACGTGCGTCATTCTAGCGCAACAGGTTAAATGATCCTCGCGGTTCTTCCGATCTCACGTGGTTAGATCGATGAAAAATATCGGCGAGAAAGCGACTAACCTCGTTCGAAAGAGATACAATACATCAAAGACACAGGGGTGCGCGTTTCACGCTGGGTGTCTGGCAGTGTTTGTCGCAAAACTGGTTTATCCGGAATCCGAGACCCGGAGGATCGAACGAATCTTCCATCTCTTACCACGAGCCGAGCTTAAAGTTTCAAATTTTACCCCGACACTGGTAACCAGTGAATAAAAAAAAAAAAAAAAAAAAAGAAAAACGTACGAAAAAAGAGATTGTATACAGTACGAGATAAATGAATTTGAATGGATAATATTCACTGGGTGAAACGAGCTGCTTTAATTGCTGTGCATAAATAGTACAGTAATTAAAAATCTAAAACGTATACGAGGCACGTGTCTTCGTTGTAATTAAAAGGTTCATAAAATTCAAACGCATGGAAAATATTTATGCACGGGCGTGATCGTCGTAAAAGAATAGTTTACGTTGGCATCGTGCATGCTGGAGTACTTGCTTGCACCTAGAGTGCATTCGTCAGAGTTCAAGCCTCTCCTCTCTTCGAGACGACGTGCTATGAAACGTAATATACGTATCGCGGTCAAAGGATTATTTTCTTCCTTTTCGCTCGTCTACATTTCCATCGGGTCCGACTCGTTTCTCTCCTCGCATCCTCGTTTCTCAAAATCACCGACGACCATTCGACGTGAATCACGAGAGATAATAATGGTTACGCTTCCGGAGTGTGGCACTGACGCGTCAGAAAGAGCACCACTTGTGAATAAAATATGTAGATCGTTTTATCTTGGTTGGAACGATAGATATATACACCGGGCATTGTCTTTCGTTTGTCCTTTTCGCTTTGTTTCACTGTCACGCGGTTCTCACGACTATCTTGAGAGTGAAAATTACATTAGTTATCTGTTATTGCATCGCGCGCGGCCACGTCGTTGAAAAATCCCATTGATCGCGTAAACGTGTAAACTTGGCGATTTGCAGTGTCGAGATCGTGTCTAAATTTTCTTTTTTCCTTTTTTCTTTTCAACGACGCTATAGTGAACGAGTCGGTATTCACCTTTCACTCGATGACGAGGCAGATGCCCTTCACTCTAACGACATTGTTCGTCCGCGATAACGGAGATAGGATAGGATAGGATAGTCAAGAGAACAATTTTTCTTTATGGTTCCTCATATAATCATACTGTCTAAACTACCGTTGAAATCGTCCAGCATACGCAAGTTTGTTTGCTTGAGACAGACAAATGATCGATACTCGGTATTTTATTTTACCAACACGTATCTTCGTGTAGAGTCTTGCAGTAAAACGCTCGTGAAAGCGTGGCCTGCCAACGATTTGCCTTTTGCAGCAAATTATCATTCTATCGACCTCCAGTCTCCGGTTTTTTTCTTTTTCGTGTAATTTTACAATTCTCGCGCAATCGAGCTGATATTGTTAATAAAATCACGCAGATTTCCAGTGTCGATAAATTCTTTTGCCTGGCAGCGATGCAACAAAATAAAATTGCAAATAAATTTTGAAAATTACAAGTTCAAGATTATCTCGCAAAGAGAAGATCTCTGTAACTTGCAATTTATCGATTACTATAGTTACATACGAAATTATTGTACAAGAGTATCCGCTACAAGACGAAAAGTTCTTTCGAAAGTTTTGAAAATTACAAATTACAAAAAAATTACAAAGTTTGATTATTTCACGAAGGAAAGATCTGTAGCCTGTAACTTGCAATTTATCGATTACTAGATATTGCTGTAATTACACACGAAATTATTGCATTCCACGGACAAAAAGTTTGTTCGTTTAAAAATTTCACAAATTGCAAAGTTTGATCATTTTGCAAAGAGAAGATTTGTAGCCTGTGTAACTTGTTAGATATTACTGTAGTTGAACACGAAGTTGTACAAGAGGATCCACGGACGAAAAGTTTGTTCTTTTGACGATAAGCTACGTTTACCGAGTAATTTCACGACTGAGAGGGTTCCCGTGTTTGCCATGAAGTTTCTACACGCACCAGGGATAGACTGTACCTAGGTTCCTTGTTCCTTTTGTCGATCCTCTTACAGTTTCGATACACTGTTATCGAAAAAGTATAGCAGATGCTTCCTTTCCCTTCGTTACGAGGGCTCACGGTACGATGAAATTCTAGCAAAAACTCGAGGATTTCTCTATCGGAAGCAGTCGCCATTTCTGTATCGATCTCTTACTCGCCATCCTCGACTGGAAGTTTCTAATACACGTTTGATCAGGTTGTGTTTCGATCAAAGAGCATCGAGGAGGAAAATCAAAGTACACGAAGTCGACAAACAACAATCGTGTCGATTTTCAATTGTTCCGAGGCGTGGCGAAGCGCGACAGTTAACTGTAAATCCTCTTTCCGTGGGAAGGCAACTCCGAACTCGTCCTTACGTCGCGGAAAAAACATCCACGTATTGGCTGCGCGATGAAACCAGCCAGGTACACTCGTTTGTTGCCGACAGAAACCGTTAGCTCTCTCTTTCTCTCTCTCTCTCTTTGGTTTCATGTAATCGATAACGATTGATTTTGCTGCCGGTACTATCTCGTTCGTACGAGCAGAGGTCGGCATACCCCGCGTTTTAAACTACCGTAGGATAGTTTAGTCTGAACGTTTGTAACTCGATATCACGCTCGAGGAACACGAACAGAAGAAGGTTTTTGACGCTCGAAAACGCTTTCATTCGTTGGAGCATTTTTTTCCTGTGAAATTTGGGAAAAAAGTGTATTACACTTTGGCGTGTAGCAGTGACGACGAAGCAGGTCTTCGGTTGGAGAATTATTCACGTCGGGATTACCTCTGCGGCATATTAAATCGTCTTCCGAGAACAGTAGCTGGAGGCCTTAATAAACGAGAGGAAAATCGAATGAAGGGAACTGCGCGTTTGCACAGCGAATGGAAATCGCGTGAAAATATCCCTTCTGCTGGATATCAAGATCGTCATAAGACGAACTAATTTCGTCGTGGAGACGCTTGGTAGCAGGGAGCGTAATTAATCGAGGTCGAGGATCTTTGTGCGAGGCATTGCGAGCTGATGAAAATGCATGAGGGCTCTCCCGCGGGTTAGGTTACTACCACCCTCCCCCTCTCGGAACCTCGATAAACATTTAATAAAGTTTTCTCACAG